TCCAAGTGCCACTCCATGGCTGCAAGTTGTCTGGAGTATCTCTCAGAGAACATCATCAGTTTTTGAATTCCCGGCACAAGGCAAATTACATACCGTATGTGCTTCATATTGGACCCAGTCAAGTATTTACTTAACATTTTGCATGTTAAAGAGGAGAGAAACAGAGAATCTGTGAATCCAGCAGCACTCTCTGAGCCATCTATTTAAAACACAGGCTTCAGATGGAACACCTGTTTTACAGAGACAGATCATCAAAGTTTTGGATGTAAAATAGTGATAAAACAACATTTATTCTGTTCAGCTAAGAAATGTGGCTGTCGAGATATACACTGCGTGTACAAAACATTAGGAACACCTTCCTAATATTGAGTTGCACCCCCTTTTGGACTAAAAGGTGTCGAAAGCGTTCCACAGGGATGCTGGCCCATGTTGACTCCAATGCTTCCCACGGTTGTGTCAAGTTGGCTGGATGTCCTGTGGGTGGTGGACCATTCTTGATACACACAGGAAACTGTTGAGAGTGAAAAACCCAGCGGCATTGCAGTTCTTGACACACTCAAACCGGTGCGCCTGGCACCTATTACCATACCCCATTCAAAGGCACTTAAATAGTTTGTCTTGCCCACACACCCTCTGAATGGCACACATATACAATCCATGTCTCAATTGTCTCAAGGCTTAAAAAATCCTTCTTTAACATGTCTCCTCCTCTTCATCTACACTGATTGAAGTGTATTTTACAAGTGACATCAATAAGGGAGCATAGCTTTCACCTGGATTCACCTGGTCAGTCTGTCATGGAAAGATCAGGTGTTCCTAATGTTTTGTACACTCAGTGTACATTGAATTGCTTTTCAGTGGTGCCTTGCGTAAGACACACATTCTGCTGTGTATGGTCATTGCACCATATGTTATACATTTTTAAATAAAAGACAACACCAGATAAATTCCATAGGAAAAATTTATTTATCAATATGCAATATCAGGATTTCAAACTTGGCTCATGGAATTTCCATTCCATAGTAACTGGTTATGTTGAACACGGGTTGAAGCTGCGTGTGAATGAAAGGCTAAATATATGAACATGGACGCGAAAAAACACAAATGCACTGGGATTGCATACATGTACATTGAAAATGATACTGAATCATGAACAGAAATAAAACGATGACAATAATGACTTACTGAGGGCAGGGAAAGTGAGCAACCAGTCACAATGAACAAGCCACTACTGTTTAAACTGTATTGAGTAGGAAAACTAAACCAAATAATGTAGATATTACTCCCAATAGCATGGAGTTGTCTAAGTTCACACACTTCAGCTATCAGGTTTCTAAGCACTGCTGTAATATTTTTCAACTGTGCGAGTGGCCTGGCCACCATACACAGCACAGCATAGGTTGGCTGAACTTGGCTGTGTGGCTGATAGCTGAGGAAATGTCTGGGGCTTGAGCTGCTTTCTCATTAGAGAGAGCCAGAGATAATATTGTGATAATCTGCAGAGGTCAAGAGAGCGTGTCCATTTCACCTTGAGGGGTGTCGAAGGACTGAGATGTACGCTGGCCTTATTTATTTCCCAAAGTCGCAAGCTCAGCAGAGCTCCTCCGAGCATGATGCTTCCCATTGGACTCTCACGACTAGAGATGGAATTACTGTATCCTTGGTCCGTGAAACCATACAGAGAGTTTAGGGAAACTTGCACGGACCAATGCTCGGAATAATATACTGCCCTCAAGATGTCCAGAATAATGTACTGCCCATCTGACTATTTCTAATCAGCATGGGTAAAACATTTATTTTTTACCTTTGGAGCATTTGATATTACTCAGACTTATCTTGATCAAAACATCAAGGCATCAGGTATTTACTTGGTTGCTCACCCTACCCTGTTTTTAAGTTCACTAACAGTTCCTTCGATTTCAAGAGGTGACAGTGTCACATAGAAAATCTATTAAATGTATAGGAGAGTATCTAGCCCTTCTCTAGACTCCCAATCCAGTCCCCCACCCACCCACAAACAGTCTGTGAAAGCAAGAATGAAACTGAGGGGGAAATAATCTCTCATGTTGAATGTATGTGGTGAACCATGATACAATTTTCTTCTCTCCTTGCAAGGCCTGGCACTTAAACACACGCTCTAAGAGATTGTGTCACCTATTCTTGTCAATTAAAAAAATCAAGATTCATACAAAATGTATTTCCAAAAACACACCTATTTATAAAATTATGCATAAAAAAAGCTAATTTTACGTTCATAAATGGGGCTAAATTAAATGTAACTTTACAATTGTACTTTTTCACATATTTACATTATTTTAGGCCACTTAACTACCAAAACTAAAAACAAAAAACAAACAATAATAAACACGCAGTAAAGAAACATCACATATTACTTCTAGGACTACAGGGTGTTGTGTTACTGTGAATAACTGAAGATCACACAGTGGTGTACACATTATCCTAAACATTGTGAACATGACCATTGTGTAATAAACTATACCTTTACCCAATGACAAACAACACACAACAATAAAACAATGCTTGTTCAATAGCTAAAGAATTAGGATTCTGTTTGTCATCAGTTTGTCATTGACTTAATTTGAGCTTTATTCTTAACACTTTTTGATAAAACGTAGTTACAGTAGAATTGTGTTCAAAACAAACAAAATATGTTTAAAAAATGTCATGGCAAATCATGGTTAGAGTCATTTTTGTATATGTTGTAGACATAATTTATTTCTGTAATGTAGGTGATAATGTACAAGACACTTGGAATACAAAAGTAAATTTTTCAAGGCCGTTTTTGAGCGAAACAATGTTAATTTATCCAAATAAATCCAGACAAAAAGAAAACTAAAAAAAATAATCAAAAGAACAGTCAATCTGCTCTAACCCTCAAACCCTGTCTATAGTCACGTCCATCTAAATAACAGTGAATCTGCGCTCTTATCTGAAACAATGCCAACAAACTGGTGGCACATGTCCTGCTCTCGCTGCTAAACTTCTTAATAACTTAAAATAATCTCAATGTTATCAACATGAAAGTATGCCAGAGTAAATTCTACTGTAAATACATGAGAGTATCTATCTTGTTTCAAAATAAACACACACGACTAGACTATGGGACCCACTTAAGTATATGGAGATAAGATATTGAAACAGAAAACGTGTGATGATTCATGTTGAAAACGATTTGGTACCAGTGTAATCTTGCCTGGTCTTTGAGGATGCCAGGTGATAGGAATGGTAGTTCTCCTCCTGAAGACACCAGAGATGTTTTAGCGCCATCCCGTTGCGGTTGTCACAATGGTCAAACTCTTTAGGAATTTAAAAAGTATTTTTGTGAGTAGGAACAGTTTAAGATAAATATGTCCTGTATTGCAATTACGTTTGTACAACAACTTGTAATGTAGTAGAATCATCACTTACTTTAAGTGTTCAATCTGTACCTCTCTCGTCTGCGCTGTGTTTTTTAAAGGTTTGGTTTTTCCATCATAGCACAGCTGAGGAGAATAGAGCTGGTTGCCAAACTCTTTCCATTGTCATCCATTCTCCTCAAACAAGCTTTTATGGAGATGCACAACACACTTTGGACATTACCTGCATCCACTTCTCATTCTGAGCACCTGACTGATCCAGGCACCATGTCTATGTGACCATGAAGAATTCAGACTCAAACATGAATGTGGCAAACAATAAAACCATCCTTAGCTACATCCCTAGCATTCCACTGTCTCCGGGCGCAGAACTATCACTACAAATGTCATACTGTTCGGTGAACGCAAATCATTCCCTCCGAAGCCATCCAATTCTTCTGAGACCACGTCATTTAGGTGGGAGCAAAAGGCTCTGCTCCTTTGATAACATCTTAATTGCTTCCACACTTTTTTCTGCTCAAATAAATTTGATCTTGTTATTCTTTTTCACAAAGGGGAAAACTCGGAGCAAAAACCCTCAAGGCCGCTCAGACACAAAAGTGACCTGTCATTTTGAAACATAACCTTTTCGTTTTCTTTAAATTGATTTCAGTCATGATGACCTCTCACTGCAATTGAGTATGAGCTATTTGTCTTTCATTAATTCACATCCAGGGTGAGACACATTCGTTGCTAGTTTTTCCCCCCAACAGTTGCATACCTGACTTTGCCTGTTCGGACACGCTTGGAGAAGTATAACAGGAGACACGTACTGAACACAATTATGGGACCTACATATGTAAGTGTTTTTGTTTTTTTATAACAGAAAGAGTGGACAACCTCAAAATAGCCATTAATGACACAGATCCTCCTACATGTGACAAAGTATCAGTAAAGGACACATGAAAATATTAATATTTACCATAATATAGTATGTATTAACTAGATATTCAGTAGAAATATTAATATTTACCATAATATAGTATGTATTAACTAGATATTCAGTAGAAAAGAAACACAACGTTGAAGGAGCAGACACTAGTGAAAAGGAAGCTACTGTAGGTGACTGATAAAAAACAATAGTGCAGGTAAAACACATTGTTGTGAAAGGGAAGTGTGTTTTGCTGTCATCACACTGTGCCTTTTTCTGTCTCTGAGCAAACCATGGAGGTTTCATTACAGGAATGGAGCCCATGAGTGACAGCCCTATTGCAAGGTCCTTTGTTTGTGTAGTACCCTGTTTGCAACTTGTCTCCATTGTCAGAGTGAAGGCTTCTCTACACCATAGGCTTTACCATCTTACAGTCTTCTCAGACACACAGTATAGCAAAACTTGGGTGAATTCAAATTTCTAGCAAGAAGCAGGAAGAGAAGACGACACAAACCCTCCAAAACCTGACTTTGGCCTATCCGGAAACATAAAAAATGTTTCAACTACTGTGTCCATGACAACCTTTTTTTCATTTCTGTTCTTGTGTCACTATTTTGAACATCAAAAGTGTCTTTCAACATCAGATGGACAAGGTAGTAAAAGGTAGGCCAGAATTCTCCCCTACAGCAAACATCCTAGACATAGTCTTTGCCTCAGACCTTGTAGTAGATGTTGGCTGGGCTTTGCGCTGGCATCTCCTGGACTATATAAACCGGATGGCCATAGTCCCCGCTCACCTTCTCGTAATGGGGGCAGTAGTTGTTTTCTGTAGTCCGTAGCGGGATGATGATGTCACTGGGTTCGGAGCCGGCGTTCCCAGAGCACTTGGGGCTGGCCAGCGTGCTGAGTGACAGAGCGGTGGTCCGCTGCTGGGTGTGCTTGCGGTTCCTCTTCTTCAGCTTGATCAGCAGGACGATGAGGATGATGATGATCAGGAGGAAGATGACGCATCCCGCCCCGATGGCTGCAAACAGCGCTGGCTTGGAGGCAAAGATACCCTCCGCTGAGTCAGACGAGTCTGACTTGTTGTCCTGGTTCATGGTGTCTGTTGATGGAAGAAAAAAGGAATCAGTTAGCAGCAGGGAATGAACGAGCAGTGGTCTGCTTGGCAGACTGTCAGACAAAGCTGTACTGTTGCTGATCATGATAGAGGTGGAACCCTGCAAGTGTGCAAATGGGTTCTCAATGAGAAAAACGGCTTCTTCCATTATTTCTCTGAATTGACTGAGTAACTAGGGGCTTCCTGACTGTGTGGCCTTTGTGAGCATGTGGGGGTGTCAGTTTTCCACAGATGATAGCTCATTTCTTCTTGGCATGCATCTTGAGAGCGAGGGGAGGATTAAACTGTGTATGTTTAGCCATATGTTAAAACTCCACATGAGGGGGTAAAGGAAGAGAAACTGTTTAAATGTATATTACCGGCTCGAGGGAAAAGAAAACACCAGTCTCTCATTAGACACAGAGGATGAGGACTGAGTCCAATTAGAGTGGCATGCCTATTTCCTGTGTGGTCCTGAAGCCTCCCTCCCTAACCCTCCCTTCCTTCCTTCACTATTTATACTCCACTGCATCCCAGCTTTGCCTGCCTGCCTGGAAGCACAGCTTCCACCGCTGCCTGCCTGGGAGCATAGCTTCCACTGCTGCCTGCCTGGGAGCACAGCTTCGAGGGCTGTCTGCCTGCCTGCCCTCCCAATGCTGCTGCTGCACAGTCAAACCGGAGGCTGCTAGCTGCGTTTACACTGGGGATGGAGGGATGGATTCCACAGTGAACCAAACCTCAGCTCTTATTATTTGTTATTTTATTTTGCAGGGTAAGATGACCTTGATGAAAGGGGAAGGAAATCCCATTTCAAAGTTGGCAGATGAAAAACAACCAACTATTGATCGTACATGAGCCCAATGTGTGTGTGTGTTGAAGGCAATGGAGGTGATCAGTGTCTGTCGGTCCCCACTGCTTTTATTTTCCTGCTTGACAAAAATATGTTGAGTGAACAAAAGACTAGTTTGTTCTCGCTCACATTAATGAAGTCAAGACCACCTGCCAGTTAATAAGAGGATGTTATCGTGACATGGAACATTAGTTTTCCTCAAGATCGTCTGAATGATTCTGAAACACTAGAATTATTCAAATGACTTCTGGGTGAACACATTTGCACATTTGCACCTAACTGTAGACCCATGCCAACACTTCAGAATGTTCTGAATAATTTATAGAAATCTATTCTGGCTATCTCTCTACCCAGTTTAATTTAGATGTTGAGCATGAATGACTGTACAGTACGTGTTATTTATCATGTGTTTTCCTCACATTCTACGGAGACCGTTTCTGCTTCCAAATAGCTTAATAGCGCAGGGAAAATGTGCATACAAATTAGGTTTAACCTCTTTGTATTACAGAGGCAAAACAACATTTTATATTTCTATCGATTGAATGATTGGCAGAAGGAAGCAGTTTCCCTTGTTAAAAGCATTTTTCTGCTACATTGAGAGTATGCTTAGTCCCCTCCTGTACTCCCTGTTCACCCACGACTGCGAGGCTGCACACGACTCCAACAACATCATTAAGTTTGCTGATGACACGATGGTGCTAGGCCTGATAACCGACGACGATGAGACAGCCTATAGGGCGGAAGTCAATTACCTGGCAGTGTGGTGCCAGGACAACAACCTCTCCCTCAACGTTAGCAAGGCAAAGGAGCTGATTGTGGACTACAGGAAACGGAGGGCAGAGCAAGCCCCCATCCACATCGACGGGGCTGTAGTGGAGCGGGTCGAGAGCTTCAAGTTCCTCAGTGTCACACATCACTATGGAATTAACATGGTCCACACACACCAACACAGTCGTGAATAAGGCATGACAACGCCTCTACCCCCTCAGGAGGCTGAAAAGATTTGACATGGGCCCTCAGACCCTCAAAAAGTTATACAGCTACACCATTTAGAGCATCTTGGCTGGCTGCATCACTGCTTGGTATGGCAACTGCTTGGCATCTGACTGCAAGGCGCTACAGAGGGTGGTGCGGACGGCCCAGTACATCACTGGGGCTGAGCTCCCTGCCATCCAGGACCTCTATACCATGTCAAAGACCCCAGCCACCCAAGCCATAGACTGTTCACTCTGCTACCGAATGGCAAGCGGTACCGGAGCGCCAAGTCTGGAACCAAAAGGCTCCTGAACAGCTTCTACCCTAAGCCATAAGATTACTGAACAGTTAATCAAATGGCTATCCGGACTATTTGCATTGACCCTTTTTTGCACTGACTCTCTTACACCGAATCTATGCACACTCACTGGACTCACACACTCACACATACTTACACTGACACTCCAACACACACACATACTACATACGCTCCCACACACACAAAACACACACACATGCACATTGATGCCACACACACACACACACACTTTCACACTCTTCACATACACTGCTGCTACTCTGTTTATTATCTATCCTGATTGCCTAGTCACTTTTACCCCTACCTATATGTACATATTACCTCAACTACCTCATACCCCTGCACATTGACTCGGTACCGGTACTCCTTGTATATAGCCTCGTTATTGTTATTTATTACATTACTACTTCCAATTTTTTGTTGCAAATGTTCTTACTTTTTAACTCTGCATTGTTGGGAAAGGGCTCGTAAGTAAGCATTTCACGGTGAAGTCTACACCTGTTGTATTTGGTGCATGTGACAAATAAAATTTTATTTGATTTACCGATGGTATCTGTTCTCCTCTGTCAAAGCAGGGCGATGTTCCAACACAACAAAGGCAAAGCATTGTACCGAATATCTCACAATATCTTTTCACTTTATAGCAGAGGGATAAACCTTCCAAAAGTATCCCTAAATGTTTAAATGCTGAAGTATTTGTAAGTTGAAACGTATCATTTTGGTCCTGCTGGCAGCTCTGACAATAAACCCATGCATATTTTGTCTGCTGTCCTGATTGGCTTTGGATCAGTTGTGTGCGTTTGGCCGCGTTCAGCTGTGGAGCTGTGCAGACAGGCATGATAAACCATCGACCTTTATTACATTCCTCTTCACCCGAGGTATGAGAGCTCTCGGGTAAGTCAGACCCAACAGGTTGTTATGGCGGAGCTCTCCTTCCTTCTATGCAGTTAAAGGAATAGGACAGAAACAAAAGTTCAAAGAAACACACATCAAGAAAAATGACTGCCAAACCTTCACATTGAAAGAAAACCCCACTGTGGGAGACTTGGCAGCTGTCCATGATCAGAGGGAAGGCCACTTTTTCCAGAACATCTGATTTTATTTTGTCCTGCAGCAGAGCCAGAACCATTGGGTCCAAATGACTTTCTAAACCTATATAAACTTCTGCATTTTCTGCCTCCCTGTAAAAAAATACCATTCTGGTGACTGAAACCCTAGCAAAATAAATACAAATGGATCTATCCAATGTGCAGAAATCCTGCTCTTTATCTGCGGCTAGATCTCAGCCTAAATTTAAATTTTAAAGGTTTAAAATGTTCATTGCCACACTTGAGCACCGTGTCTATCCACATTACTACTCAGCATAATTAAAAAAAGTGGATCAGTGTAACTTTCTCAAACCAAAAGGGAAAAATATAATATGTTTGTGTGTGTGTGTGTGGCGGATGTTGTGGAGCATTGTACAGAGAAAATGCACTAAGAATGGTTTCACAGTGTGGGATACAGCATTGGAAGCAAAACCATTACCTTTTGGCATTGAACGTTACAGTCAAATCTTGAACACTGATAATAAGGACTAGAGCACAAAACAGGGAAACGGGTCATACTGCGGCAAATACTCATTTTCCCACAAGTCTAAGCATCCTCACCTTTGTTGCCTGGCTCCCCGGCCCCACCACTGCCCCCCTTCTTCTTATTTGGGCTGGTGGTTGTCTCCTTCCCAACTTTTTCCTCTTGGCTGGGCTTCTCTGTTATCACTGGGTCCGGTACAACCGTGTTCGGGTCTGCAATTTGGACGAAGAAAGTCAACAAAGTTAGATGCCAATGTGAATATTGTACATGCTGTTGGTCCTTTTAGTATCATTTTCCAATAATGATTTGAAATGGGGTGAGGAATGGGAGCCATAGTAATCAGTTCCTTTGACCCCAATTTCATGTCATAATTAAAGCCAATTACTATAAAGTTTGAGGCATGACAGTCTGTCCTATACCCTCCCAAATGAAGCTATAAAAAATTATGTAACATCTCCTGCCAAAAAGGCATTAGTCACTTTTTGCGGTAAGACTTTACTTGACACTTAGCGTCATAACACGTTATGACACGGTCATAACCATGTCATAATATGTCATAACAGCTGACATAACTTGTCATAACCTGTTAATTGGTCATAACACTGTCATGCCATATATTTAGACCTGTTGTGACATACAGTATATTGCATTATTTTATGGCTGGTTATAACACCTACATAAGAGTGTAAAAACCCACAAAAACTACCACGGTAGTTATTTGATGGCTAGTTATGATGCCTACATAAGAGTGTCAAAACACACAAAACCTACCACACAAGGCAAAACATTCCATTACACCATAGCCTACGTGTCAACAGTATGTTTATGTTTGTTTTTTAGTGATCATATTAAATCATTGTAATTGCGCACACATTGATGTCAGACATGCACCTACCCAAATACTCTGTTGCTGATGACTGGGATGAATGCAGGAGCAGATTTCAGGAGCAGGACAAGACACCCTCTTTTTGACTGATGACTGATATAAGTGCATGTGCGTGATAGGCCTATCTGGCTTATATGATTATGATGGTCATAATGCTTCTTGACAGTTTCATAAAGTGTATTTTCTTAGTCCCAAGTAAAGTGACACAGGTTGGTCATAATGTTTCTTGACAGTGTCATAAAGTGTATTTTCTTAGTCCCAAGTAAAGTGACACAGGTTGGTCATAATCCTTTATGACAGTGTCAGATTTTCTATAAGTTATTTAAAATATGATGAAAAAAACATGGCTGTAAAGAATTCATTACAACAACAAAGGATTTTAGAAACAAACTTTCAAACGAAAGGAAACTTCTTAACAGGGAAAACAATAATTTGAATAAATGTGGGTTTTGACACTCTTATGTAGGTGTCATAACCAGACATAAAATAATGCAATATAATGTATGTCACAACAGGTGTACATATGGGTCATGACAGTGTTATGACCATATTATGACAGGTTATGTCAAGTTATGTCAGCTGTTGTGACATATTATGACATGGTTATGAGCAGTGTTAAGTAAAGTGTTACCCTTTTTGCATTGTTCCCCTGAGTGCCATCAATGCAAAAGCATAAGGGGAGTAGTCTGAATACACTGGCATTAAGGGAGATTTCATTGACTGGGAAATCATTGAAGTGTACATCAGAGGAGGTTGGTGGTAGGAGCTATAGGAGGACAGGCTCATTGTAATGGCTGGAATGGAATTCATGGAACAGAGTCAATGCAATATATAGAACAGAGTTTCCATATGTTTGATGTGTTTGATACCATTCCATTTATTCCATTCCAGTCTCTACAATGAGACTTTACTCCTCCCACCAGCCTCCTCTGGTGTACATATGCTGTTTTACTGCCCCTCCTCCCAAGATAACTTTGAGATCTTGGAATTATTTGACTATAATAGTTTGTAGAAAAATTTGTAAACTAAATCAAGTAAACAAGTAGAAGTTAAATGTCCAATTGTTCTATTTTTAGAATGGCATTTTTAAGAGCCCAGATGGAGGTTTAGCTGGGCATAAAATAGTATGGAGGTTTAGCTGGGCCTAAAATAGTGTATAAGTGATCATACAAAATATTTTGCTGTGACTCTTATAGTTGAAGTCGGAAGTTTACATACACTTAGGTTGGAGTCATTAAAACTAGTTTTTCAACCACTCCACACATTTCTTGTTAACAAACTACAGTTTTGGCAAGTCGGTTAGAACATCTACTTTGTGCATGACACAAGTCATCTTTCCAACAATTGTTTACAGACAGATTATTTCACTAATAATTCACTGAATCACAATTCCAGTGGATCAGAAGTTTACATACACTAAGTTGACTGTGCCTTTAAAGAGCTTGGAAAATTCCAGAAAATTATGTCATGGCCGCAGAAGCTCCTGATAGGCTAATTGACATCATTTGAGTCAATTGGAGGTGTACCTGTGGATGTATTTCAAGGCCTACCTTCAAACTCAATGCCTCTTTGCTTGACATCATGGGAGAAGTAAAAGAAATCAGCCAAGACCTAATTGTAGACCTCCACAAGTCTGGTTCATCCTTGGGAGAAATTTCCAAACGCCTGAAGGTACCACGTTCATCTGTACAAACAATAGTACGCAAGTATGAACACCATGGGACCACGCAGCCATCATACCGCTCAGGAAGGAGACGCGTTCTATCTCCTAGAGATGAACGTACTTTGGTGCGAAAATTGCAAATCAATCCCAGAACAACAGCAAAGGACCTTGTGAAGATGCTGGAGGAAACAGGTACAAAAGTATCTATATCCACAGTAAAACGAGTCCTATATCGACATAACCTGAAAGGCCGCTCAGCAAGGAAGAAGCCACTGCTCCAAAACCGCCATAAAAAAGCCAGACTACGGTTTACATCTGCACATGGGGACAAAGATCGTACTTTTTGGAGAAATATCCTCTGGTCTAATGAAACAAAAATATAACTGTTTGGCCATAATGACCATCGTTATGTTTGGAGGAAAAAGGGGGTGCTTGCAAGCCGAAGAACACCATCACAACCGTGAAGCGTTTTTTTGTTGTTTTTTTTCTGTTTTTTTTTTTTTTTTTTTTGTATGGGTGGTCCCGGGTATCGAACCCACTACCTTGGCGTTACAAGCGCCGTGCTCTACCAGCTGAGCTACAGAGGACCACGGATTATGTGGATATATTGAAGCAACATCTCAAGACATCAGTCAGGAGGTTAAAGCTTGGTCGCGAATGGGTCTTCCAAATTGACAATGACCCCAAGCATACTTCCAAAGTTGTGGCAAAATGGCTTAAGGACAACAAAGTCAAGGTATTGGAGTGGCCATCACAAAGCTCTGACCTCAATCCTATCGAAAATTTGTAGGCAGAACTAAAAAAGCGTGTGCGAGCAAGGAGGCCTACAAACCTGACTCAGTTACACCAGCTCTGCCAGGAGGAATGGGACAAAATTCACCCAACTTATTGTGGGAAGCTTGTGGAAGGCTACCTGAAACGTTTGACTCAAGTTAAACAATTTAAAGGCAATGCTACCAAATACTAATTGAGTGTATGTAAACTTCTGACACACTGGGAATGTGATGAAAGAAATAAAAGCTGAAACAAATCATTCTCTCTACTATTATTCTGACATTTCACATTCTTAAAATAAAGTGGTGATCCTAACTGACCTAAGACAGGGAATTTTTACTAGGATTAAATGTCAGGAATTGTGAAAAACTGAGTTTAAATGTATTTGGCTAAGGTGTATGTACATTTCCGACTTCAACTGTATGTGGATTATGTAAAAAAATATTTGTTAGTCTAATGTGATTAATAAGGAGCATCCAAACGCTGCACTTGATACATTTATGAAATTGCTTCTTCCAATTATTGATAAACATGCACCTGTTAAGAAACTGACTGTTAGAACTGTTAAGGCTCCATGGATTGATGAGAAATTGAAAAACTGTATGGTTGAAAGAGATGGGGCAAAAGGAGTCTGGCTGCACACCTGACTGGCTGACTTACTGCATATTGAGAAATTATGTGACTAAACTCAACAAATAGAAGAAGAAACTGTATTATGAAGCCAAGATCAATGATATAAAGAATTATAGAAAAACACTTTGGAGTACTTTAAATGAAATTATGGGCAGAAAGACTAATTCAACTCCATCTTTCATCGAATCAGATGGCTTATTCATCACAAAACCATTTGATGTTGCCAATTATTTTAATGATTACTTCATTGGCAAAGTGGGCAAACTTAGGCAGGAAATGCCAACAACGAACAGTGAGCCATCGTACTCATGCATAAAAAAACGAATAATGAAAGAAAAGCATTGCAAGTTTGAATTTTGTAAAGTTAGTGTGGGAGAGGTGGAAAAATTATTGTTATCGAATCAATAATGACAAACCTCCTGGCATTGGCAACTTATATGGAAAGCTACTGAGGATGGTAGCTGACTCTATAGCCTCTCCTATCTGTCATATCTTTAATCTAAGCCTAGAGGAAAGTCTTTGTACTCAGGCCTGGAGGGAAACCAAAGTCATTCCGCTACCGAAGAGTGGTAAAGCGGCCTTTACTGGTTCTAACAGCAGACCTATCAGCTTACTGCCAGCTCTTGGTAAACTTTTGGAAAAAATTGTGTTTGACCAAATACAATGCTATTTATCTGTAAACAAATTAACAACAGACTTTCAGTATGCTTATAGAGAAGGGCACTCAACATGTACTGCACTGACACAAACGACTGATGAAATTAAGAAGAAGAAGATTATGGGAGCTGTACTGTTAGATTTCAGTGCAGCCTTTGATATTATTGACCATAACCTGTTGTTGAGAAAACTTTTGGCTTTTCAACCCCTGCCATATCGTGGATTCAGAGCTATCTATCTAATAGAACTCAGAGAGTTTTCTTTAATGGAAGCTACTCTAATGTAAAACATGTAAAGTGTGGTGTACCACAGGGCAGCTCTCTAGGCCCTCTACTCTTTTATATTTTTACCAATGACCTGCCACTGGCATTAAACAAAGCATGTGTGTCAATGTATGCTGATGATTCAACCATATACGCACCAGCAACCACAGCTAATGAAGTCACTGAAACCCTTAACAAACAGTTGCAGTCTGTTTTGGAATGGATGGCCAGTAATAAACTGGTCCTGAACATCTCTAAAACTAAGAGCATTGTATTCGGTACAAATTATTCCCCAAGTTCTAGACCTCAGCTGCATCTGGTAATGAATAGTGTGGCTGTTGAACAAGTTGAGGAGACTAAATTACTTGGTGTTACCATAGATTGTAAACTGTCATGGTCAAAACATATAGATTCAATGGTTGTAAAGATGGGGAGAGGTCTGTCCATAATAAAGAGATGGCCCACTTTTTTGACAACACACTCCACAAAGCAATTCCTGCAGGCTCTAGTTTTATCTTATCTTGATTATTGTCCAGCCATATGGTCAAGTGCTGCAAAGAAATACCTAGTTAAGTTGCAGCTGGCCCAGAAAAGAGTGGCACGTCTTGCTCTTTATTGTAATCAGAGGGCTAATATTAATACTATGCATGCCAGTCTCTCTTGGCTAAAAGTTGAGGAAAGACTGACTGCGTCACTTCTTGTTTTTATAAGAAACATGAATGTGTTGGAAATTACAAATTGTTTGCATAGTCACCTTACATATAGCACTGACACACACACTTACCCCACCAGACATGCCACCAGGGGTCTGTTCACAGTCTCCAGGTCCAAAACAAATTCAAGGAAACGTACAGTACTATACAGAGCCATGAGTGCATGGAACTCCCTTCCATCTTATATAGCGCAAGTGAACAGCAAACCTGGTTTAAAAAAATAAATAAAGCAACACCTCACGGCACAATGCCTCTCCCCCATGTGACCTACTTGTTGTGTGTATGTACTAACATGTATGTGTAATTGATATAATAATATAATATGCCATTTAGCAGACGCTTTTATCCAAAGCGACTTACAGTCATGCGTGCATACATTTTTGTGTATGGGTGGTCCCGGGGATCGAACCCACTACCTTGGCGTTACAAGCGCCGTGCTCTACCAGCTGAGCTACAGAGCGCACACACACACACACACACACACACACTACATGTTCATGTTTTTAAATGTATGTCAATTGTAAAGTATTTTGTCTCTAATGTCTTTTTCCATTATGTGTCGGACCCCAGTAAGACTAGCTGTCACCATTGGTATCGGCTAATGGGGATCCTAATAAATTTTAACATAAAAAAGTCTATGACCAGAACGTTGTGTGTCTCTTTAGATGTTAACACAATATTTATAATGGCATACTGATATTCATTTTAACAGCTAATTTTAAACCAGCTCATATTGCTGCTACAGTGTGCTATGTATAATTTAAATCAGTGGTTCTCAACTGGCTTTGCCTTGGGACCCAACTTGAACCAGGTTTTCTCAGTCGCAATCCAATACTCGCATCACAATTTCTTTCCCTAAAATGCAATTTGGAAAACTATTTTTTATACTATATTGATAGTAGATGTACCAATTATATGACAAGGGAACAACAGTCCCAAGTTTTTCATTGTCAATAATTCAATTTTGCCCATATTCTTCATGGAGAATGTTAAGCTCTCTGGCTTGAGACCACAAAATCAACCAAATCCGCTAAATAGCGCTGCTAATAACTCTATATTGAAAATACTGTGATTGAAGAAAAATAGTTCAGAGGTTAAATGATCATTTCTACACACATTCTACCTGATTTTAGTCGCGACCCATTCAAAACCTAATTTGGGTCAAGACCCACCAGCTGAGAATCACTGATCTAAATGGCACCCTCATTTTGTCAGTTTGATTACAGTTAAGAGAACTATTGTGCCAGACGCATTGGTGCTGTGCTGTCTGCTACTGCTGAGTGAGGGTTTCTAATGTGCAGCACAACATATTGGGCTGTCAACAACAACTGAAGAATCTCCACCCCCAAAACAATATCACACATCTTAACATGACAGCTTGTTTAAAAAATAAATTTCACATCCATAGCTATAAATATAAAAGTGGTCAATTCAGCTGAGTTTCAAACATCGATAGGCCTTGCTCTTGCTCATTATACTAACATTGTAAAAGCTTTGGTTGGAAATGAGAGGCCATCAGCCTCCATTTAAACTAACCAGCATACGGTGCCACACCATCTCATTTCATGGGTGAATAGTCATCTGATAATTGCATAAAATTCAATGTTCACACACAAATCAATAAATTAAATATCATAGTGTGCAGTAATCCAAGAGTATGAGGAAGTGCATCAGCTGATTCTGACACAGTCTGTTGTTACATGGCAAAGTCCAACTCTGAAGTCATCCCATTGAAGTTGACATTACAAACTGTTAAGGTAAGGGTTAAGGTTAGGGTTAGGTAAGATATATGGTTAGGGTTAAGGTTAGGTTTATGGTTTAGGGTAGGGACGTCCCAAGGATTCCGGATAGCACTAACCGTTGTTACATATCCAGATATTAGTCATATAATCTTCTCCAATCATTGACATTTTGGTTAACAAATGCATTTTGTTAGAGACAAAGTTCTCTCCATGAAAAAGATGGATATGCATATCATTATTTTTATTTTTACAAAGGGATTAGTACTGTGCTGTATATCATCTTCTAATAATATGTTTGTTCATTGTTTTGTGTGTTGTTTACAATCATCCTTTAGTGACCGTTGTCCTGGATGAGTCAGTGTAATAAAAACAAAGGGACGATACTATTTCCTCATTACTTCATTGTATGTGAACCGTTTCTCTGTGTCCACATTATTTGTGGCAATAGAGTTGCTATGACTCACTGGCTGAAAATAAGACCCAATCCTTCAGCAAACACACAGCTGAATGTACTATGCCCTAGGGTCGGTAACGTCATTGCCCCAAATCATAAAGAAATAAACTGTTGCATTCCAACTGTAACAGCCTGCACGTGACAGCAATGTTAATTACATAGCCTATATAATCTTTTGACTGTTTCCTAGCTCCTATCATAGTGGCGGCAGGTAGCTTCGTGGTTAAGAGCGTTGTACCAGTAACCGAAAGGTCACTGGTTCTAATCCCCAAGCCGACTAGGTGAAAAATCTGTCGATGTGCCCTTGAGCAAGGCACTTAACCCTAATTGCTCCTGAAAGTCGCTCTGGATAAGAGTGTCTGCTAAATGACCAATTTATTTTTATTTATAGTGGTTACCGTATATTAAACACAGCTTTACGCAAACAAGTCTTGAGAAAGACAAAAGGAATGTCAAGCCAACAATGATTATTATTATCTCAAGTCAGCTATAAAAAATTATCCACAGACTATGTAACAGCCCCTATGTGTAGAATGAGAGTCTTATCGGCCAACCCTCTCTTTGTGGTTTGTTTGTTTTGGATGTGACGGGGACTAGGGCAGGCATTTAGACCGACCCTGACACTCCTTGCATGACGCCAGGCCAAGCAAAGGTATTTTTAGAGACCCAGATGAGTGGGCCAATATACCAGTGAGGGGTTAAGGAGAGGGAGAGTGCATGTGATGATTGATGGTATCTATATGGAGACCTCAGTTTTTTTTCCAGTGGTCTCATCTGTTTTACACGGCTGATGGTGCATGCGGTATACGTCTTTATTCCTTCATCACATTGATTTCTGCTGAAATGGTTTGTGTTGGCCTCGTAATCCACTGTCAACGTGGTAATTTATTGAGACAAATGCGTATACATGTTGCACAGTGTTATTTATCAAGGCTAGTGGGGGCATGCCATGGCAGATTAGACAGCCCACATCACATCAATGTAGAATGCCTGGGAACTCTTGCCCCACTTATCTCAATGCATTCACATTCTGTTAAGGAGCACTTGGAGGCTGCTGCCTCATTTGGATAACAATGTCAACACTTATTTGAGTTTGTGACACTGTGTGAGAGACGAGGTTTAAATACGTTAAAGAGAGTGACAGTGTGTGAGAAACCTGGGCTCTTCAGGCAAAGCAATCTCATTCATCTTAGACCGACAGGCCCTCTAAGTAATAGGACAACAGGTAGCCTGTAACATGCTCTCTGGAATGTCCTGAATATTTTCCACAGCTTTCATTTTTTCATTGTGTGAGTGAGTTATTTTGGTATGTGTGAGAAAGTGTTTCAGTGTGTCTGTCTGTATTTGCACAAGAGCTTTTCTTTGTTTCATCTTTCCCTTCTCAAAAAAGAAAAGTAAAGAATGGAGTGAAATGTGATGTCTGAGGCCCTTATTTTATGAGAGATGAAGTCACTAGACGATTCTCCACACACTGTGAGTAGCGGAGTGGAGTATCCCACTGTAAAAACCCATGCCTGGTTGTCTGGCTATATGAACAATAGCTCATTAAATTCTCCTCGTAATGACAGTTCCCCTAAAAAGCTTTCATTATCACTCATCCATAGTTATATCCTGCCTGGCTCTATTGTGACTGCCTTTTACTGCTTTCTGGCATTCCAGCCAGTCCACATCGAGACGCTTACTTACCCTGGCCCACTTTCATGACGATCTTCATGGAGAGGGTGTTGCAGACCCCTCCTTCCCTGTTCTCCAGGCCCTCCAGGGTCCCATTGGACGTGGCTGTGATGAGAGACAGGAAACAGCATTGGAACATAAATAATAATTACAGCCACTCAGAATTAATGTACGGCTTGATTGTTCATTCATGAAGAGATCTCTATAAATCTCTACATATAGCTATATCACTGGACACTGATGGATGCAATTATTTAAAAGATCATTCAGAAAACTGCACAATGGTTGCTGTCCATGCCTCATAAGATATCATCTAACCACTTGTGCTGAGAAAATAATTTTCTAACCCCCTAATGTAGATACAGGTATATACCTGTTGTTGCTTACAACAGATTTTCATCTTTTAACCGCACATTGGTAATATCCACTCGGGTTGTAGTTTGAGGACCACGTAAATACAAGGCTCTCTATACATTCCTCTTGTGTGTGCTGCTTATATCTAGACACGGGGAATGAAATGGATGATGAAAATGGATGATGAAAAGCCCTTGAGTGGGCTCTCCTCTTACTAAGACATGGCTGTGATAGTAATCTGATCCCAGGGGAATGTGGTGCTTTCAAAACACTGCTGAAATCATACATGTGGAGAGAGGAAGGTGTACACACTGTATAGTCCAACATTTTTATGTGTGGTAATCACATTTTTACCCACCTTCCCACCCTCACTCTCTACCCTCCTCTCCAAAGCTTAAAGAGGTTTTTGTTCTTTCCTTTTTGCTGAAGAAATGTACCAAACATTTGGCAAAGCAAGTTATGCCAGAAGCAATTATGGCGAGCTGCAAATGCCAGGGGCTTAGCTTTCTCTTTCGGCATGTCCTGTAATTAGAGACTGGGTGGCATAGTGGCCTGCAGCCCTTATCTCTGAGGGGTTTTCCTTAAAATCAATTCCCACTGAGGGGAGCTGAGGAGGCTGGGGGACAGGGGAAGCCAATAGGGTCTCTGTCTCCCTGTGTTGCTCCTGTCAGCTCTGCTTCCCAAGGACTTAAGTCACAGAAACGGGGCGCAATTGGCACTCTCTAGGACCAAGGAGTGTGAATATGGATCGGGTTCTAGATAATTCTCTCAGCCCATAGATACGAGGGGGCGGTTTCCATGCCAGTGAAAGCCGGTGCCCCACCCTGCCCCGTTTGATTCTTTTCAGACCTGCTCGTTGGGTATTTTCACCTCCAGAAACCTCCGCTTTTTTCTCCATCTGCTCCATTCTCCTCCTCACAAGGCACTAAAGGAACGGCCACCTTATTAGCTGGTCCAGATTCTCCCCTCATTAAGAGTCATGAATGAGTTGCCATGTAGGAGAGTGTTTGACTAATAAGGTCCCTCTCCAGGAGAATCAAAGCCCCTCTCAGTGGAGCCCAGGCACAATGGCGGTGGGCCGGTGAGAATGGGGCATGTGGCACTGCTCCAGCAGAGGTATCCCACCACACCACTGGCTCAAATCACCAACTGCTCAACAACACAGAATGGGAGGCCTGTGAACCCGATTTCCCTCTTTCTTTCCCACATTTAGTTTTTCATTCTTCAAGGATGCAATTAGAAGACAGAGGACACACAAAACTGAGTTCATTACAAACATTTTGGATTAGCAATTCATTCTTATGGCGTAGCCAGATAGAACAAAAGGAGAATTTGAGTTATTTTGTTTTACAGGCTAAGCTTAAAAGGAGCTTACATTGACGCCAATGTACTAATGAGACCCTGAATATATTGGCAGAAACATTATAATGGAAACGGATTCATTAAGGTAAGGAGCTTGAGAGGTACAGTGAGAAGACAATCTCATTGACTATTGGCCCATGCAGGGATTAAACGTGGAACCTTATCTATCTACAAGCCTTGACCTTAGCTGATTACATTACCTGCCTGTCTCCTTCACATTTCATGCTCTATCATGCAGGGTAATTTCTGTTACTCTCTTTCACTACTACTACCAATTGAGACCTCTCCGTCAGTCGAGAGAGGCCCCAGCAAACTAATGTTGGCTTTAAATAAAAGTGAAAAGCTAACCTTGAATGGTTTGATGGAGCAAGGGAAGAAAACCCCTAGACACAATTCATTAGTATTTTCTGATTGCATTGACCACGAAGTAGACTGAGCATGTTTCTCAGAAACCAACTGTCTCAGACATCCTATAGTTGTCCTGTATTCCACAAATAGAACCCTTCACTTGATAGATAAACTTTGAACTAATTTAGTTCAATGGGAATTCTGTCATCAAACATGTGGGATTGTCTTATTAGGTTTAGAGCACTCATGAAGTGAGAATGGATGCGTGAAAAACAATAGCTTACAGCACTTAACCCAAAGAACAAATTGTGTTTTAGTTTTCAGAATGGATCCTTAACACTCTGTTAGTGGAAGGTTGAGGCGGTGAGTGGGAGAGAGCCCTGCTGCCCTGAATGATGTCACAACTATTAAGATGCATAGGCCTGGGAGAGATGCCAGGCTCCGACCGAGTCGTCATGCACAATGTGAGCATGCCACCGTGCCCGCGAGAAGCAGGGCAGAGAGACAGACAGACAACTCTATCCAACAAGGCCTCCAAATATGGCCAAATCTGCTGCCCATCAGAGAAACACTTTGTTAGATTCTAGGAAAGGAAATCACAGCATCACTGAGACAGGATAAGGGAATTATATAACATGCATTGCAGTTGCTATTGTTGTAAACACTGTATACTGTTGTTCACCATTGTAATGAGGAAACTCTTAGTTGGTTCCAGGACTGTCAAGGCCAACCTTTGAACTGGGAAAACATCATTTAACACAGGATATGAAGCAGGGTGTGGGGGCGAGGTCATCAGCAGTCCCATCTCTTCCACAGCTGCTGAAACTGACTTCTGTTTTCAAGTGAACTAGGGGTCACGTTTCACAACTCACGGGGCTCTGAGATGTTGGAAAGATATCTTGCAACAACAATGGTCTCTATCATTCACCTTCAACAAAGGTACTGCACTCGTGCCATGAAACAGAGTCTGGAAAAATAGTAATAGTCATAAAAGAAAATAACAATTCAAGGACAATACTCAAACTATTCCGTTTTGGGGGTACTAGGAAAATGTAGTTTTTTGTCCCTAACTGTACTATAGTGTACCAAAAACATCTTGAGGACATCTTGAGATTTGAACAGATTAGTTTAGGGACTGGGGACACTTCTTGCCTGACAGCCTGTATCGACAAAAAGTTCCCTTCTTATCCAATAGATCAATGATTTAAGTTGATAAAAACACCTCCTGTCCGTTATCTGTAACATTACTAAACTATTGGTATTTTACCACCTCAAATTATCAGGACAAATGTTTATTTATATCCAAAGAATGTGGATCAAATAGTGCATAGTCCAGGTCTGAGAATGATTTACAGTCTACTGCTATAGCTTGTTCAATTCCATTGAGTGAGCTAATGCAAGAGTACAAAAAGTACAGAAAAACCTTTGGTTAGTGCTGCTGAACATTAAAAGTGAAAATAGCATTAGTATGATATCAGAATGTAAATGTATATTTATATGACTGAGATGGGACCCTTTTTTAATATATGGTGCTCAAAATAAAAATGAGTTAGGAGAGGGTGGGGTAAGCTGAGACATTTTTTACATTCAGCATCACTCCATCAAGGGAAATATAGTATACTTTCGAGAAAAAAAAAGATATCTACATATATTTTGGGATGTTGTGTATCCCTTGAAATAATCAGAATTAATGTAAATATTACAGTCTCTTGGCACGACTTACCCCGTGTATGGGGTAAGTTGAGCAGCTGGACAGGGTAAGTTAAGCCACCTACACATTTCTGCACTGAATGAAATATTACCACTACCTTTTTAAAACCATGTCTATCTTTATTTCCAAAACACAATTTTTTTTTTTTACACTTTTAACATAGGCCAGGCCCTGTTGTTACCTCATATCCCAGGCGTAATGCAAGGCATTAGAGAAAACACTTACATTTGCTATTAAACTTTCCATTAGCTCAACCATTGGCTCAACTTACCCCATGGCCATTCGCTCAACTTACCCCAAGGCAAACATTTTGAATACCATAAAACTTCAATTATTACCCCGGGCGTTTATCTGCTTGAATCACTGAACACAACAAGTGCTTATTAGAGACAGGCTTCTATTTGAGCCCTGCGTCTATTTCCTTAATGCACACAGCTTTTGCTCATTTGCATAGTTAATTGTTGAAAACATTTAAATAATTAATTATCATTTACACACTATGTCACTTTTCTTTTGTCTTAGTATGCCTCTATTTTGAAAAAAAAACTACACTTTTCCTTGACAATAATTATTCTCCTCTGACTGAGCATTTTTGTCCATTCTCACTTTTACCACTAGAGGGCGATCTGTTGATTTCTAGGGTTCTGTACTCCTGAAGTTCTTGACTGTTTTTGTGATTGCCAGGTACTGTAGCTAGCAGTCCTCAGCTGTTAGCAACCAATGGCTAGCAGTTTCTTACTGGCGATAGAAACGGATTATTGCAATAATTTTTTCGAGTCATTACTGAATTTGTTTATGTAACAAATCAAACATTAAACCTTGTAAACAGTTCATGGTAATTCATGGTAACCTCGTAACCAAATCATTTAGACCCAACGTTTATTTGAAACAGCCATTTATTTGCTGAAATGTGTGTCGTTGCCCAGCTATTAAAAGTGACAGGCGGCTATTTGAGACTCTGCGTTTAATGGTTTTATTGTATATTAGGCCACACAGCTACAAGGATCCACTTTCATGCTAGGTTTAGGACCTCATATTGAAGCTTATAGAGATCCCAACTGATGTATAAAACAATCTTAAAATGATCTACTTTGGTTTAGATACAAGCATCATGAAACCTCTACCCCAATACATTAATTTGACTTGATGAAAATCAGCTTTTTAGACCCAACTTGCTTACCACTTTTTCCATGTGGTTTCTTCCTTCGCAGACCCATGAAATTATGACCTCTTCCCCACTCTCCCCTACTGTATAGCTACCACGAGAAAAGGACACAAGTTATAAAAATCCCCTTCTGTTTGATTCATAGCATTGGTTGTTTGGTTCCTTACCACTGGGGGGAGGGAAGCAACTGGCATTAGCACATAATTAATTTGCCAAGAATATGCTCTATGTGCTTTAGTGTGTTTCTCCGAGGGAGGCTTCTGTCATGACTGTAAAATAAATGGTGTGCCGTTCTAGGTTTTTTCCTTCAGCACCTCTAATTAACTCCAACATGTTTCCTCTTGATTATGGTTTCTGTCTTCGCTCCGAGGACAAAAAGTCCCAGACAAGCATGCATGATCTAGCAGGCTATCATACAGTACTTGTATGTAACTGCAACAGCACAGATACTGTGCTGCTTGTTGGAACATAAGCCAATCTGAAGGGAGACTTATTTACTCATTGTAAGACTGTGGGTGAGGTTATGAAGCAAGACAGTTTGTTATACGGTTGACATTCTCTGTGGTTTGTCCTCATTTAGCCAACAAACAAAATACAGAGAGTATCTCCAAGCTTAACTGTCATTTCAGTTTGTAGGACGCTATGGATGTTCCTCTTTGTGCAGCCAATACCACATCACCACATATACACCAACGCACGCAATCTTTTAAGCAAACACGATTCGTCCAAAAATGGGTCTTCTGTGTGTACTTAGATCAAATAACAAAGACACACTCCAAAAACTAAAAATCATGCAATCCATTTTGAATTCTCAATGTGCTCTGTAGCATGCTTCTATAAAATGCGTAGACAGACACTTCTACACAGTCCTGTACATGTGTTCACTGAGCAATAACATGTACTCATGCATGAATCAACATGTGGCAAGGTCCATCTGTACTGTCATTATTATACATTTGCAAAAATAGCAAAAATTCTTCAATAAATGATGTTTTATTACATTCATTTAGGGTTATTACAGAACTCTCGTGTATACAGGACCACAGGCCCATAATGTTTAGGTTACAACTTCTGTATTCTTTCCTGTAACGTACTGTAACTAATAGTGGCATCTTTGCCCCAAACACCATCTGACATGTTTGAGCTTTGCCCCGTCTGACAGAAACACAGTTAATCTGTTTCAGTGGTGACAGGACCTTCACTAACCCACCACTTTAAAACCTCAGGACAAACGGCCAGAAAAGGCACAGAGAAAACAAAGCAAGCAAACAGTGCAAATCACCTTTAAAAAGCCTTGATGAGTGATAGGCTTAGGGGATAGAATGGGTCGTTGTAAACTCAACTCCCAGATGAGCACTGACAACAGTGTTCCAAGGACTACGCCAGGCAGCCACCCTGACAGAAACTGGAGTGGGATTCAGCATTCTGAGACAAGGACACGGCTACTCTGACCCACATCATACAGACACACAGGGGACACTGGAAACATTGGCAGCTAGCTACTCTGTCCATATAGAAAAACATATGAAAATCTGGAAAAGTAAGAAACTGTGGTATGTTATGCAGATTATAATTATATGCTTGTGAAATGTTGAGAACATTTTGGGCTTACTCTATCTTTAGGGAGAAGCTGGGTTTTGGCCGTGTTTACGGTCAGTAAGATATTAAGATGCAAAAGATTTGGGTTAGGAATGGAAGCAGTTGTTTTAGGGCTTCAATGTGGAGAGTGGCTAAGGCCCAAGGCTGCCCCATCAGATCAGGCACAGTTGACCAGCCTGCTGCCAAATTAAGATGAGGGTCCGGAGGGGAGATTTCAGCGCTGTTGCGAGATTACAGCACACTCAGCTCCGCCAATGATATTAAGGACGACCTTTAAATCCCGGGTGCCAGCTGCACCATGGGAGCTGGGAGTCCCAGACCAGGAAGGGGGAGGAGGGAGGAGATCAGCCCCGCCGCCGCCACCGTCTCCCCGCCTCACATCAGAATGAGACTACAGGCTCACTACTCGACATCAGAACCAAAGCAGGGCTTTGACGGAAATGAAGGGAGACACATTTTTTATTTCTCCCACTGAACCTGTCAGCAGGCTCTGTGAGGGTCCCCATGGCTGCTAAGATGGCTGTAGGTGCATAGAGGGCGCCTGAGAGGGCGCCTGTGTTTGAACAGACATTTAATTGTGGGTTATGAGTGTTGTCTTTCAAGCACATCCGGGAGAGACGTGCTCAATATTTCCACAACAGGGGTTCTGTATGGCTATAAACACTCCAGCGAGGTAACAATAATGAAAAGCCCTCAGATGTGTCTTTTTTTTTATTTTGACAGCAGTCAAGTGAAAATTTAAAAGTCAACATTTACTTCGGTTCCATGTGACTTCATTTATGTATTGGGTAGGTTGTCTGAGCTTGACAGGGACCAGTGAATGACTAGTTTTGCCCAAATCCCCAGTTTAACAGGCATAGCTGTAATTACACACACAGCACAGATCAAAGCTGTAACCCATGTTTAAAGATGATGCACAGGCGCTGTAATTGTTTGCCATTGGTGAGGCGGCGTTTTTGACAGAAATAGTGAGTTGGAGGGACCCCAAAAGACTTGTTCTGGGTAACTCTCTACCACTGTTAACTGAAACCCAAACTCGGGTGCTGCAGAGTGACAGAGGAGACGATGACTCGAAGGCACTTCCTGCAAGCTGGGAGTATTTGATTTCGCTCGAAGGAAACTACAGAGATAATATACAAGCCTTCAAGAGACACCAGAAGGGTTTCATTAGAAAACTACTGAACTCTGGAAACAAACATTTGATACTGCTGAATACAGCTTTCAAAGATCCTTTATTCTCAAGGTCATACTAAAATAGGGATTTACAAGGTTTACAATGGTTGAGAGGGGATGTCATTTTCATTCTTGTCCAAACTGATTCACGTAGTGGGATCAAATAGAATGGGATCAAAACAGTTTCAGAAAGCAATTAAAACAGAAATCTTGATGTGAAATGTTTATTTAACCTATTATTTTCTGTGCACATATTTATCTTTATGCTGCATACTTCCAAACATCATGAAATCCCTCAAATGAAAAATGAAACAACTGATTTTCTTTAAGTAGGCAGAATTTAGGTATGCACAAGAACCTTTGACTTAGGTAGATCTTTCTGTCTTTTGTTTTCCTATAGAAATCTTGGCGCAATGTAGGGATGGAAATGGCATGTTACTTGAATGGTGTAGCCTCACATATCGCTTTTCTTCCAGTCGAGAGAAGCCTGCCAGCATTCCAACACTGGAGCTGAAGCGCTTTAGCGTCTATTCACTCCCCCTCCAATAGGCAGATGTGACATTTAATAAACTGTGGGCCTTTGTAGCTCAGTTTGTAGAGCATGGCGCTTGTAACGCCAGGGTATTGAGTTTGATTCCCGGGACCACCCCTACATAAAATGTATGCACGCATCACTGTAAGTAGCTTTGGATAAAAGTGTCTGCTAAATGCCATATATTATACTGCCAGCTGGATTTTACACTTTCCGAACTCTTTTCCATGGGGACAACTCAAATCCCCCATCCTACTGTATATACAGCATAATTGTAGCACCATGCATCACCACCTCACATCCTGTGAACATACTGCAGTTCATCTTTAGTATAAAAGGTGAGAGTAACATAAAAAAGCCTTCAGATTTGTGTAGCTTTATCATACACCTATATAGCTTGGTACTAACTCGGTCTAGAACACCTACAGTATTTCATCACAAACACACACGTTTGTTTTACTATCCTTATGGAGACCAAACAATTGATTCCCATTAAAAATCCTATTTTCCCTAACCCCTAACCGCTAACCCTAACCTAACCCCTAACACTAACCCTAATTCTAACCCTAGCCCTAAACCTCTAAGCCTAAAATAGCCTTTTTCCTTGTGGAATTTTCCTTGTTTTACTATCGTTGTGAGGACTTCTGGATAGGATAGTAAAAAAAACAAAAAACAAAAAACAAAACAGTGTTAACCACCGATATATGGGTTCTTCAAACATTTGGGTCCTCACTCCTCCTCAGCTACTGTGCTGCAGAGTGTTTGTAATTTGATATTTGAACTCAAGAATTGTCTATGATAGGAAACACATAATAGTGTTATGCGGTCCCCCACCTGGCAGGAGGTTCATTTTTATTTTTCATTTAACTAGGCAAGTCAGTTAAGAACAAATTCTTATTTACAATGACGGCCTACACCGGCGACGCTGGGCCAATTGTGCGCCACCCTATGGGACTCCCAATCACGGCCGGTTGTGATACAGCCTGGAATCCAACCAGGGGGTCTGTAGTGACACCTCAAGCACAGAGATGCAGTGCCTTAGCCCGAGTGAACCAATAGACTCCACTAATTTCCAAAGACAAATCACAGCCTCCCAGGACTGTGGTCCTGACTATATCCTTATCTTTTATTTATGTTAAAGTGATGGATGTTTAAATGAGAAAAATGGCATCTTAACTTGCTCCCTGTAAAGTCGCACCATCCATTCTGTACAGGATTGACAGCCCTGGGACTAAACAGCCCCCTACAATCCAATTGATGCCAGGAGAATTTATGGATCGGTGCAAACGGTGCAATGAGATAGCAGTGGGACAAACTTTATCAGACCCTTATACACTGACCAAGATGGAGCTGCTCCCAAACTGGTATAAGGAATACATGGTGTAGAACTTAGGACATATTACATGGTTTGGTGGTGTGCATATGTACTTGGTTGTGCTTGTTGGGTGGGCGTGATAGATATGTTTTGTTTCTCTCATTTGGCTTCTCTAATTGTCTTGATGTTTTCTATTTCTAATAAAACTAATTGTCTTTTAAAGGACAAAGTACTTACCACACAAGAGACACTGTAAAAGCAGCTCAACGTGTATTCCCACAGCAGTCTGTACTAGGTCTCTGGAGGCTTCAGAAGTACCACTTAATATTGATTGTCTAACTGTGTGGGTGGTATACAAGCCACTCCTTATCATACAGCCTGAGAAGCCAGGAAACCTGACATGGCTGGTTTTCCAGCACACAGAACACACAAGGAAATTCATGATGAAGCGTATTTTCACAATTATCTCACAGTTATTCTTGTCTGAGTGACTCTGAGGTCTGAGTAAACATATCTCAGCTATCTTCTCCAAGGACATGGTATCATCTACTCTACAGGGATATCTAACACTTTGAATTACTGTTCCAAGTGGGACTCCAGTATATTATGATAACATCAACAGAAACTTCACCTTAAGAAGTTTTACTCATATCAATGATATACAAAACAAATCATGGCTCTTAGCAACATTTCAGCAAAAGTGTTTTCTAAACGACTCTGAGAAGTAGATTGATAGAATGAAAGGCGGAATGCCCACTCAGTGTTTGCTTACAGCTTTATCTCAGATGTCATGAGAAAGGAAGACAAAGACCTGTGGAGAGGCGTTGGACATTTTCAAATTGAGAGCAACTAGCAATATCCATGTTAGCACATCTATTTGTTTTAGAGCATCAATAGAGAGTTTGCTGAGACATCAAAGTCTTGGAGGAAGGCTCGTTAGGAGGATGTTTTGTCTCCACACTCTATTGTTGCTCATAAACAAAGACAAATTACAGTAGATTGGGGCATGCCTGGTTTTCCTCTCTGCGCTCCCTGTCTAAGATGGATCTGACAGTACCAGCACTGACCTTTTCATAGTGCCCTTCTGATTTCATCGACTGAGGCATGGTTAAAGTCAACAGTGACTTGTGAAACCCTAACATATTAAATACTTTCCACAACAACTAATCCTTTGGCCAGGACTGAGATGGATGGTTTAAAAAGAGGAATTTCACATCCAGCTAGAAATCCCATTAGCAGAAACACTTTTCTCTGATTATGATTGCTCTCATTTATCTTAATGATATATAAGTGAACACAACTACTGCAGTAATTTTCAAATTTCAGATCGCAATGAACTGTTATTCAAAATTACATTGGTCCAAAATAGTGAACTGTAGCCTACCATTTATAATCGCGGCACGTGTTCTAAGGCTTCTCCAAGCAATTTTATTTAAATGTTTAAAAATATATATCCAGGTTTGTTGGACAGTTTGATGGAACTCTGCAAGCTTGATCTTACACTGTGAGCTTTCTGAAAGAGCATTGACTTAACTACCCTCTCTCCTCAGCCCCCTGAAAGCAGGAATTGGTGTTAAATTAGCCTTAGTTTCAGCTGTGTATGCACAGGGAGCAGGGGGCGCACTCATTACCCTAAATAACACGCATCATCACTACGTCCCATCATGCCTCACTCTATGGCCCCCAAAGGCCTAGCTGACTACCTTAGGGACATCGCTATGGCAACAGGTAGAGGTTCTGATCCATGCGGGGGCTCAGATGGTTCAGTGTTTTGAAGAAGCAGAGACTGACCAATAACTGAAAAAACAGCTACTCTCTGAAGAAGCAAAGGTCAACTTTAATCATCTCCACAGCTCCACACAGGAATCTCATAAAAAACTAAACAAAGCTAGTTCATTCTCATCTTCACCCCTACACAAGAGAAAGGAGAGAAGAGGGTAAAGGTATTTCTCTAAAACAGTATCTAATCCTCTGAGAACTGCTCTACAGACTAGTAATGTTGAAAGTAGTTTGCTGATTGGGCCCCTTTTAAGAAATTCAAGCTTTCAATGAGGTCAGTTCATTAAAAAAAAATGATCTAAGATTGGATGTATACCATGAAAGCAGAGGCTTCTGGAAACAAAAGGAAAGCTTGGCTTATGATCTCGACAGCACCTATGTTTGCAATTAGATAAAAAATCTAAAGCATATGCTTTGTCGGAACTCCAAAGCCTGCGATCAAATGTGTTGTCTGGAGAGCGAACGATAAATATGCTTCTTGTAACCAAAACGCCCATTACATTCACATCAAGAGAGTAAACATGTCAAAAACAGGGAAGTGGAAACGAAAAAATGCAGATCCGGTAGATATATGTTGCTATTTAACACACTTTTAAACTTTTCACACTATCACACTATTTTATGGGACAACTGACTCCTTTACATTTCATGTGACTGACAACTCTATGACTGATTTCTATTTTCAGTTTTAAAAAAAAAAGGTTATTCACCACACACTGCTTCTGTCTGATATAACTCAAGCCTTTGACACTGTGGGTCACACAGAGATTTAGGAGTTTAGTTACCACCTCACATCATTTGAATAAACATCTGAATAGAATGTTCTCAACACTATAATAGCGACCACTATGGAAAGCCCCTTGGTCCCCACCTCAGGGAAACGTGAACCCCCTCACATGGCAGCCACTGTAAAAGAAAATGAACCCGGTAATTCTCATTCTTCATCTGTGGCATATGAAAAATGTTGTCTCAGGCCAGCTCCAAAAGCTGTGGCTGCATAGCGGTACATCAAAGCCAGGGTTATGTCCTCAAAATCAGAATCATCTGTTCTTTATTCCAAAGTGACCGGCTATTCAACTTCCTTATGCATCCCAGTCAGCTCCGGAAGGGCTCTGATCTCACCCTCAAGGTGCAGTCTAGGCCTGCGATGACTATCAAAAAATAATCAGAGGCTTTTTAGAATAAACCAGGCCCTAGATAATTAAACCCTGAGCAAAAGTCCTACACTCCAGCACCATTGTTGTGACATGTGCAACACAATAAACTAGATAGGCCTTACATTTTTCATAATGCCTTCATTTGGACCTATTCCTGATAAAACAAACCATTAGGCGTTTCCAGGGACCAGTTGAACTAGTGATAAAAAGAGAACCTTTCAACTGTAAATTTCCTGTTCTTCATTTTTCAGTATTTTCCAGCTTTTTAATACTTCTCTAGAGAGCATGACATTAATGTTTCCAGGATCATGCTTTTCACATTATCTTCCCTCTTAGACAATACCAGACCCTTTTTTTCTCTTTTAGTCGCAAACCTCATGCTAATGCATGTCTTTTCTCACATTTCCACTTTCTAAAACTCAAGGCAAAGCCAATTTCATTTGATGCCAAATCACAGTAATTACACTGTTATGTGACATGACAATTAACTCCCAAGTTTCACAAGGACATGCATATTCTTCCATGGCCTACAGCCCACACTGCATACATATGAAGAATATTGGCCCAGTTGTGTATCTCTCGTTGCATCTTTGCCCGTGTGCGATGAGAGACTGTCATTTTAAGGTCTTAAACAGACTGGTAGACGGTGGAGATGTCATGGTGTGTCAGAGGTAAGATGGAGTGCAGCAGATGACATCATTCCTGGGGCTGGGTTGAAGATTAGAGTCAGCTGTCTGAGGGAGCCTCCATGACAAATCTCCCCCTTCCCCTCCTGTATCCACAGTGCTCAGGGGGGAATGGTGCTATATCTGGCCCAATTACACTGCGATTCCCTCTACCTCAGTGACAAGGCTCCTGCAGCTCTCTGGCTGCTTCCTGATTAACCTGATATGAAGGACACCTCCAGAGGGGGTTTACGCCAGGCATGGAAGACCAAGAGGAATCAGGACAATAGACAAGCGGCAACATGGGGAATATATGATCGGACGGATCGGTGCAGTCTGTCATAAAAATTGAGTAATGCCTGAGCAGCTGTTTGGCTGAGTTTGTGTTTCACATCCATTTAAATTGCTAGAGGAAGGCTTTTGAGTCAAGCTCAGTTAGCGAGCTGGACCAGTAACAGAGACCAGTTAACTGGATACACAAGTAACGTGGCCTGGTGATAGAAACCAGTTCGCCAAGCAGCAAGCCACTGAGTCCAATTAACAAGAGACTAGTCAGCCTGTTGAACCAATGACTAAGCATCAGTGATGTTCCGCTTGAATAGCTAATTTCTGTCATCTTTTTCTTGATAGACAGATTTTTGTGTGTAACGCATTCTAATGTTGCGAGTACTATAACATTTTAGAGAAATTATGTCAGCGAGAGATGATGTTAGCGGAACATGATGAAAGAGTTTAATTGTAATCGGGCCCAGGATTGAAGATCTTCAAAGCTACTGTGAATTCTACAGACACAGTGCTTTATGAACTGAATCGAGCAGAGGGAGATTATGGGAGAAGGAAATGCACTACACATGGTGTGGGAGAGCTATGGAAGTAACAGGTCCTGAAAGACGCTGCCTGGGAAGGCTTTGTTGTGTTTTGCTGTAACAGCAGGGGCCATATCAAATGACTCGGGAAACATAATGGGATAACTTTAATGCTGAAAAACATTCAAACGGTTTGTTTGCTTGAAATTGTACTCATTGTTTTATGTAATTGTTCAAATCTATGGTTCTCTGAGGAGCTTCAAGCATTTCTTTCACAATATATCTCATGTAGGTGTACTATAGGGCATAAGGTCTTGTTTTTATTATCTTGTACCATCTCCCTACTCAGCCTTTCTTGCACACATGTCCTCTTCTGCCCCTGCAATGCACTGGATGGAAATTCAGGCTGTGGTGCCAATCAGCTCAGTTTCCAGAGGCATTTAGTAGATTATGGCCATGTCCTGCCAACAGCCCACCATCCCACCCAGTGCACGCACACGCACACACACACACACAAACACACACACTCTCACTCACACACACAATCACATATGCACACACATACGCATGCAGACTCACGTACTGTATGTGCACACCCCCACTCCCACACACACTCACACAAACACAGACAACACCCCCCACATCACGGCCTCTCTTTCTCAAACCAATTCATGGGTCCCCAATCCCCCGCCCCAACTGGAGTGGCAGCTGTCACAATGCGTCACTATCAGCCGTGGAGGGTTACAGGGAATCAGTGTGCAGATGAGAAAATAGGTTCTCCCATCAAAACACCTCCATAGACATACACATTGTTCAAAGCAGGGGATGTGTCGTCTTTTGAAAAGAGCATGAGATGATTAGCATGGAAGAACTCCATGCTAAGATGGATTTTTGTTTGGGGGATTGTTTCTTTCTATCTGGGAGTATAATCACTTCAGTATGTCTGTTTCTTTCTCCTGCAGCCCTGTGGTCTGGCCCTGCTGCCAAATGGTGGTAGGGCTGGAGTTGTCATCAGTGGGTTATCACTGACACCCCTCCTGCTGAGACTCGCTGACCCTCTGCACAGGGGCACATGGGGAAAGACCCACACCACGGGGGCATATGAGAAAGCTATACCAGTTTGCATACAGTCAACAAAGATAATCCTCTCCATGTCTGTGTACACAATGTGAGGGAACTATGCCAAAGACCATATTTTTTAATTCTGAGGAGAGAGGGAGATAAAAAGTTAATGCTAGCCTCCTCCGTGTGCTGCATTCTCCACCCATCACTGGAGCAAATTAGAGGCATTTTCTCTGGTCTGATGATGTTTACAGAGCAGTATAAAACTATGTGATAAAGCATTATGGCTACTCTGCCACAGAGCAATAACAAGTATGTCATAGAGCAACACAGTTATTCTGAGCGACAGAGAGTTAAAGTACACACAGAGCTGGAGCAGCTGGGTCCCATTGCCTCGAGACATTTATATAAAAGAGCCAAGGAAGTTTAATCTTATCAGCAGAGTGATACCTAATAGAAAAATCGTTATCCCAGAGTTAGATTGAGACGTTTTGGCATACCAATTCAATATAGTGCATGATGAATCTGTGCTGTCTGAGGAGTTTTCATGGTCAGCTGTTTTGAGTCAAAGGAAACAAAGATCTGACCTCAATAGGGAAACTCTTCAAGGTACTTTATTTTCCCTAACGTCATAAGAACTACTTGGGCCCATAAAACAGCTTTATACGCCCTTGGTACAGTCTAAATGTAACCCCTAAGATCTCTCTCAATTTTCTGGAGAAAGAAAATGCAGATATTTTTCACATTTTTGACAATGGTATTTGACAGTATTTTATGCTTTTAAATAATACAAGTTTTCAATATGCATTATGAGTAGTAAATGACCCTAGGGTGGCAACACATACATTATAAGTGATTTCAATGGGGCTTTCTCTATTCTGACTGTTCTATACTGTTCAATCCAACTTCATTTTCAGCATTTTCATAAATGTCTGCATTTCCTGCACTTTTGTTATCATTTCCAAACGGTGCCACGCAGGGCTGCATGATACTGGCAAAAAAAGAGAAAATAGCCTAATTAATGAAAAAAAGCATCTAATCAACAATATTATTATTTTCTATAAACTCTACAACTCTTCCAAATATTGACTTTTCTTCACAACTGCCACCAGTTTGATGCTAAAACATTGACCAAAAATACATATTGACATAGAAAAAAAAATGATAAAGAATATTTTATGCTGAAACCCTCATATTAAACATCAATTGTAATCACTAAATTGATGGTTTATATTTAGGATAATGTTTTACAGCTTTGTCATTCAATATAACTCGTATGTCTAAACTTTATTAATGATGTTAGGTACAGTGGAACTTTTTGCAAAAAGGCTTTATAAATGAAAACATAGCAATGTATTAACCTACTTGACATCAAAGAGGGCCAACAAACTTTTTGGTATAGAATGCAGTGATGAGTACTAAAATTGTCACCGTAATAAAGCGCAATGTGCTATGATAAACTGCATCTAACGGCTTTAATGAAGTGGCAGCTGCGATCATATACAGTAGATGATGTCGCCTTAGTCTAGGAACGTAAACTGCATAATCTGCTTTCTACTATTTAGCGAGAGGCAGGACCTTTTTCTATAGAAGAAGCCCATTTTTATTCTCAGCTTCTTAACTAACTCATCAATACGCTTTTTAAAAGACAGCTTTTCATCTATCCAGATGCCCAGATATTTGTAAGCAGGGACACGATCAATATGGACACCATCCAAAGTACATATGCTTAAATAATCAGACTTATATTTATGTGCTCTAGAGGACAACATATGCTTAGGTTTACCTGCATTCAGTACTAATTTCAGGTCAATAAAGTTTTTTTATTATCTTAATCGGTGTAAGGTCAACATCGAAGTAAGCATATGCCAATTAAAACACCTGGTTTTCTGAGCAATCTTTCAAATGATTAGGACATGTAAACAGCTTAATCAGCGTTCAAGCTGTGTATTTGATCTGTGCATGTGCTAGCACCGGTAGCGCAAGCCTCTCTCTTATGCGCGAGTGAAGTGAGTTCGGATAAACTGAAAGTATGCGTCTTCGAAATAGTTTTCACATACAAACTTTATATGTCCGAACATAGAATCAAATAGGCTTTGCAAAAATAACATGGTCACTGTGGTAGAACGTTTATTTTGATTGCTGATTTTCTGCATTGATTTAAGTCCCATCAGGTAGCCTGATTTCAGATGTGTCCATGTAAACAGGATTATTAGGAAAATCGTTCTTCTCGCAAAGCATGCAAACGTTTTAAAATAACCATTATATTAATCTGACTATCCACAATAATCATATTGTTGTGTGCATGTAACCGGGCTCATTGTCGTTTGACATGACAACGAACAAATACGGAGGAATTATTGACAGGGTAGGAACCAAAGTTGTTGGTCAGTGTTTCCAGGTGAGTGTAATTAGATGTTACAATACATGTTTTCTTACCTCATGTAGCTAACTGACATATACATGCTTCGCCTATTCCTCTCTGATTTAGAAGATACCGCCACAGATAGAACAATGAGCCAGATTTTTCTGGTTGATGTTTCCACTCACTACCAAACATGGTGATGAGAGGAAGCCCAGTGGCCGCCAGTGGGAGAAGATGGAGCGAGATGAATTCTGTCCGACATTTTTCTAATTTTCTCATCGATTAAACATTTGATCTCCATACAGTTTTCTGTTTCCAAAACTAAAATATGTAACAAACAGAGTGGACTGCGTTCTGTAGACTTGACCCTTAGCCAAAGTTTCAAAAAATTGCGTTGTTTAGAAGGAGTGCAAGGGCGAATTGAGTTATTGCACACGCGCACTTCACAGAGTAGGTGTTCCCTAACAGAAATATGCAAATAAATGCTAGAACACGCCAATAGGATCTCACTAGCTCATGCTTGGCTCTGCCCCCATCCTTGCATGTTTTGCCCACTATGATTAATTTGCTCCCATTGGAAATGGCAGGCTCTGGTCTATCTTGGGTTAGTTATAAAAATCTTTGATACCGTTGCACAAACAACATGCCTAGCTACGTTTGCTCTGACTCTTAGTACATTTAGCAAGCTAGCTAGCCAGCTTACTAGCAATTAGCATTAGCGGCTAACAAGGTTTATTTGAGCCACAACATGCTATGAAAAGACAAACTAGCAGACAGTAGTTTGCAGACAGTAAGATACACAAACTAATAGTGAAAAGCAGCATGTCACCAACATCTTGTTGCATCTATCTGACCATGCAGGCTGCAGAATGAACAGCAAGACAGTGCTCGTGACTGTGATCGAGCAACTGCTCTCTCCTTGAGGGGCAGGGCTTGGTGTGGGAAGTGGCATGCACCAGGAGGATAGGGAGAAAGACGATTCAAGTAGCAAACGTAAACTACAAAAACAGACATTACACGCACCTTTGCGTTTCACATTTAACAAACCAAACATTGAAATACCGTTATAGAGGGTAAAGTAAAAACCCAAACCGGTCCGTGCATCGAAACCGGTATATAGTAAAATACGGTATACCGCCCAGCCCTAGTTTCAATACACTGAGAAGTAAACTAATTACATATGTTCTAAAAATTGACATATAACAGATTATATTTTCAATGGCTTATGAACATATATTTTTCTCTTGTCTTTTAAAAGTAAAATGAGGAAAACATGCTCCTCCAACAATGTGTCTGGCATATACACTCAGCAGATGTTGACTGCTATTGATCAGGGTTTCCCAAACTCGGTCCTGGGACCACCCGGGGTGCACGTTTTGGTTTTCACCCTAGCACTACACAGCTGATTCAAATAATAAACTCATCATCAAGCTTTGATTATTTGAATCAGCTGTGTAGTGTTAGGGCAAAAACCAAAACGTGCACCCAGGACCGAGTTTGGGAAACCCTGGATTAGGGGATCAAAGACAAAGTCAGTCAGATCTCAGAGAGATACTCTCACAGGCAGCAGCATTCTTGGCAATGGACGTCGTGCGTTTTATCAAACCTCACTTTGATTTACGAAGAAACAAGTGAATACGCAGTGTAGAGTGCACTCTGCCTCACCTCTCATCTTCATCACTAATCCACCACTACTCAGAGAGCTGCAGAGTTCACTAATTAAACAAGCACTTGAGCTCATTTCCCCTTTATCAAGGGTGTTCCAACAAAAAAAAGAGGCACTGTTTATCAAATGATGTCAAAAGAATACTGGATACCTTATCCAACATTCTGTGCGTGTGTGGCTGGCACTGCTGCAGTGTGCACACATGTTTTGATAAATGTGGCCCATTTACTCCTGCAACCACATCATTAAAAAAAAAAAAAAAAAAAAATTGTTCTTTTTGGAACTGGACTAAAGAACATGAGGAAAATATACTGACTACTTTCAAGGACAATCAGAAATGTAATCAGTTTGTGGCAAAGACACAATATGTTTGCTTTCCTAATAGAGAAGTATCAATGTTGGAAGAGCTTTTTCATGCTTCACCAGTCATTTAGTGTGTTTTTATGGGCCATCCACGTTGGTTTGGAAGACCGGTTATCAGTGAGACTGGACATTATGGTGTCATTGATGTTCTGATGCTAGATCTGTGAAAGGATAGGACAATAGCAGAGCTCCTTCCCCAGCCAGCCACCAGTGATGATCTAAAGACATACCATGTGGATCAAAGGGTTAAAGAAAAGCAGCCATGGGCCTGTGGACCTGTGGAGTCGGGTGAAGTCGATTATGTGCTGGTGTTACGGTGTCAGAGCCAATGGACTCGGCTCAGCGATGTGTAACAGAACAAATCAGGCCTGCTTGACTGGAGCTGACCCCTCTGCCAGAGTTGAAGTGTTTTTGCAACTGACCGGATCTGACAGAAACAATTTCGCCTCAGAAAATTCAGAGACCCCTCTGCGCTTAGAGTTGCGCTGAGCAGGGAGAACTAGGCTAGTAGTGGCTGCACTTAAAAACAACGGGTCAAAAGATACTCAAGGCCACTCAGGCATTCCCGACCAAGGACTACCTGATAAGATTTTAATTCAACATACATTATAGTCAGACGACCTTAAGAAAATGTTTATGTTGTGCTGAGGGAGGTTAATGTGACCTGTAACGATTTCAGGCTCAGCAGAAGGATAATCAATTCAGTTGTACTAGACAGGTCTCTTTCAGAAACCTTGTATTCGAAGAAAAAGAGCCAGCATCTACAGTTGAAGTCGGAAGTTTACATACACCTTAGCCAAATAAATTTAAACTAAGTTTTTCACAATTCCTGACATTTAATCCTAGTAAAAATTCCCTGTCTTAGGTCAGTTAGGATCACCACTTTATTTTAAGAATGTGAAATGTCAGAATAATAGTAGAGAGAATGATTTATTTCAGCTTTTATTTATTTCATCACATTCCCAGTGGGTCAGAAGTTTACATACACTCAATTAGTATTTGGTAGCATTGACTTTAAATTGTTTAACTTGGGTCAAACGTTTCAGGTAGCCTTCCACAAGCTTCCCACAATATGTTGGGTGAATTTTGTCCCATTCCTCCTGACAGAGCTGGTGTAACTGAGTCAGGTTTGTAGGCCTCCTTGCTCGCACACACTTTTTTAGTTCTGCCTACAAATGTTCTATAGGATTGAGGTCAGGGCATTGTGATGGCCACTCCAATACCTTGACTTTGTTGTCCTTAAGCCAGTTTGCCACAACTTTGGAAGTATGCTTGGTGTCATTGTCCATTTGGAAGACCCATTCGCGACCAAGCTTTAACTTCCTGACTGATGTCTTTAGATGTTGCTTCAATATATCCACATAATTTTCCTTCCTCATGATGCCATCTATTTTGTGAAGTGCACCAGTCCCTCCTGCAGCAAAGCACCCCCACAGCATGATGCTGCCACCCCCCATGCTTCACGGTTGTGATGGTGTTATTCGGCTTGCAAGCGCCCCCTTTTTCCTCCAAACATAACAATGGTTATTATGGCCAAACAGTTATATTTTTGTTTCATTAGACCAGAGGACATTTCTCCAAAAAGTACGATCTCTGTCCCCATGTGCAGATGCAAACCATAGTATGGCTTTTTAATGGCGGTTTTGGAGCAGTGGCTTCTTCCTTGCTGAGCGGCCTTTCAGGTTATGTCGATATAGGACTCGTTTTACTGTGGATATAGATACTTTTGTACCTGTTTCCTCCAGCATCTTCACAAGGTCCTTTGCTGATGTTCTGGGATTGATTTCCAATTTTCGCACCAAAGTACGTTCATCTCTAGGAGATAGAACGCGTCTCCTTCCTGAGCGGTATGATGGCTGCGTGGTCCCATGGTGTTTATACTTGCGTACTATTGTTTGTACAGATGAATGTGGTACCTTCAGGCGTTTGGAAATTTCTCCCAAGGATGAACCAGACTTGTGGAGGCCTACAATTATTTTTCTGAGGTCTTGGCTGATTTCTTTTGATTCTCCCATCTCCCATGATATCAAGCAAAGAGGCATTGAGTTTGAAGGTAGGCCTTGAAATACATCCACAGGTACACCTCCAATTGACTCGAATGATGTCAATTAGCCTATCAGAAGCTTCTACAGCCATGACATCATTTTCTGGAATTTTCCAAGCTGTTTAAAGGCACAGTCAACTTAGTGTATGTAAACTTCTGACCCACTGGAATTGCGATACAGTGAATTATTAGTGAAATAATCTGTCTGTAAACAATTGTTGGAAAGATGACTTGTGTCATGCAAAAGTAGATGTCCTAACCAACTTGACAAAACTATAGTTTCTTAACAAGAAATGTGTGGAGTGGTTGAAAAACAAGTTTTAATGACTCCAACCTAAGTGTATGTAAACTTCCGACTTCAACTGTGTATGTGACATACAAAGGAACATTAAAGGGATACTTAAGGATTTTGGCAATGAAGCCCTTTATCTACTTCCCCAGAGTCAGATGAACTCATGGATACCATTTTTATGTCTCTGCATCCAGTATGAAGGAAGTTAAGAGGTACAGTGCCTTGCAAAAGTATTCATCCCCCTTGGCGTTTTTCCTATTTTGTTGCATTACAACCTGTAATTTAAATTGATTTTTATTTGGATTTCATGTAATGGACATACACAAAATAGTCCAAATTGGTGAAGTGAAATTAAAAAAATAACTTGTTTAAAAAAAGTATAAAAAATAAATAATGGAAAAGTGGTGCGTGCATACGTATTCACACTCTTTGCTATGATTTCCTTAAATAAGATCTGGTGCAACCAATTACCTTCAGAAGTCACATTAATTAATTAATATGCCATTTAGCAGACGCTTTTATCCAAAGCGACTTACAGTCATGCGTGCATACATTTTTTTTTTTTGTGTATGGGTGGTCCCGGGGATCGAACCCACTACCTTAGCGTTAGAAGCGCCGTGCTCTACCAGCTGAGCTACAGAGGACCACATAATTTGTTAAATAAAGTCCACCTGTGTGCAATCTAAGTGTCACATGATCTGTCACATGATCTCAGTATATATACACTGTTCTGAAAGACCCCAGAGTCAGCAACACCACTAAGCAAGGGTCACCACCAAGCAAGCGGCACCATGAAGACCAAGGGACTCACCAAACAGGTCAGGGACAAAGTTGTGGAGAAGTACAGATGAGGGTTGGGTTATAAAAAAATATCAGAAACTTTGAACATCCCACGGAACACCATTAAATCCATTATTAAATAATGGAAAGAATATGCACCACAACAAACCTGCCAAGAGAGGGCCGCCCACCAAAACTCACGGACCAGGCAAGGAGGGCATTAATCAGAGAGGCAACAAAGAGACCAAAGATAACCCTGAAGGAGCTGCAAAGCTCCACAGCGGAGATTGGAGTATCTGTCCATAGGACCACTTTAAGCCGTACACTCCACAGAGCTGGGCTTTACGGAAGAGTGGCCAGAAAAAAAGCCATTGCTTAAAGAAAAAATAAGCAAACACGTTTGGTGAATAGTTATGCACACTGAAGTTTTCTGTTTTTTTGTCTTATTTCTTGTTTGTTTCACAAGACAAATTTTTTTTTGCATCTTCAAAGTGGTAGGCATGTTGTGTAAATCAAATGATTAAAACACCCCAAAAAATCCATTTTAATTCCAGGTTGTAAGGCAACAAAATAGGAAAACTGCCAAGGGGGGTGAATACTTTCGCAAGCCACTGTAGTTTCACAAGCCAATGCTAACTAGCGTTAGCATAATAGCTGGAAGTCTATGGCATCTACTAGCAGCTAGCAGTTACCATAGACTTCCAGTCATTGCACTAATGCTAGTTAGCAATTGCGCTAACTGTAGTTAGCAACTTCCTTCAAACTGCACGCAGAGACATAAAAATGGTATCCCACGAGTTCATCTTACTCTGGAGAAGTAGATAAAGGGCTTCATTGCCAAAATCAGGAAGTATCCCTTTAAGCCCATGGAAAATACAATTGTTTGATCTTATCGCAGCACTGCAATACCCGTTTCTAAATTGTAGATTAAGGAAAAGCCTCGTGAATTGTTTGCAATTCTATTCCATGTCGGGACCGTATTTAGATATGAATAATCTAGGAACAATCGTGTTGTAATTTCTAAGCAACAATACAACGTCTATAGATGTAAAATAAGATGCATCAGTGTGGTTAAATGTCAGATACTCACATGTGATGTAGTAATTTCTGTTCTTTTTGAACTCCAGGCCCATGTAGTTTGGACTGAACTCCTGAAACTTGATGGTGAATTTGATGTCCTTCTCAGGCTTGTTGCAGTTGACCAACACATTGGGGTCCATGACTGTTCTGCATTGGTCTGCCTGGTTCTTCTTCACCAGGTATAGTTTGTAAAACTCATACGGCCGCCCCATATCTGCCTTTGGGCAGATAATGTCCAGCTTGTCTCCTATCTCTGGGTACATCACCAAGCCCTTCCCATACTGAAATCTGAAACAGACAAAATATGACAGAGAAAGGTAAGAATATTTCAAATACTCTAATAATAGCAATACATACAAGGTCTGGACATCACATTCATTGCATAACAGCGTGTTATAACTCTCTGTAAAATGCCATTCTTCTCTACCAAATACACCAGTGTTGTCTGTGTCTGGCTGGCAGTTGCTTGAGCAACAGTGACTAATTTAAAGTAAATCGTTTGTCATTTCACTTCACTTAAAGCCGGTGCAAAACAAATCATGAGTGAATTCATTGTAAGGAACAGGTTAAGGGAAGTGGGGGCGGGTGTTTACAACGCCACATAAACATGGCCGACTGTCGAGGACAGCTATGGGACACGCTTTTACATCTGGGGTTGATAACATCAAATACACAGATAACAACCGAGAGCCCAAGCTGTTATAATGTAAACACATGCATTCATTTACATTAATGCCCATTGATTTAAAACACTGTAAACAAAGCAGACATCCCTATCTTTAGCTTAGCAAACATACAGCACAATACCAGGGCAGATGTCAATAGGAAATCAGTATGACAGAGGGCTGCCCGGGTCCTGATTGAGCTTAATCTGCGCCAAGTGAGGAGAGAGTACAGATAAACACAAAGCGCTGATGGACAGATGGCATGCAAGCCTTATCTAGATGCTCCACACCTTATCTTTCACAAATTCATTTTGATATCTTCCCTCTCTAACTCAAAGCAACAGGCCCAGCTGAATTCTATTTGAGGATTTAGAGCCGCTGATTGCCTTTGATGAGTCATACTTCTCAAGTGGTTTCTTTTTTCTTTTTCTTGATAAGAACCCTTAGGTCTGCTGACATGCTTAATCCAATATGAGAGAAGAGCTGATGTAGGCAGTTTTTGATCTGGTCCTGTAGAAGTCAAACAAATCGGTGTTGTGTTGAATGTGTTTTTGTTCAGCTTAAAGTCTAAACAACCTTGTCCTAGTTACCAGAGAGATGCTGCTCAGTTTGATGATGATGATGTGTTTGGTTGTGATGGAGACGGAATGGGACAATCTGATCCTTATTTACATTTGATTTGCATACACACTGTTCCCAACCAATTTCAACATGGTTTAATTGCCAAGAAAACAGCTTTCATGATTCATTCATTTTAAGGCCCTGGTGGATAGAAGGAGGCTGACTAATTCTCCCAACACTAAAATTAATCAACAGTAAGCAATGTCTGTCTGTATGGCAGTCAGTCTGCCTGTCTGTGGCAAACCTTAGTTATGCTTTGCTAGTATGATATCTTAGACAAAAATATGGGCCCTGGTTCCACTATGTCAATCCGCCACGGCTCGTTTAGTATCCAGTCTGCAACGACCCTGTTTCTCTACTTGCTGTATTCACTAGTAATTAGAGTCTCTCCTTCTCTCAATCTTTAATTCTCTCGTTCCTTCGTTATCTCGTTCTATGTGGGATTACAGCTCTTTGCCATGCATGATGGGACTCATGATTTGTAAAATAAAAAGGGTCCCTTGCGTTCGCTAACAGCTGAGGAGATGTGATGATGCATTATTATTCCCTATATACTGAAGCGGAACTGTACGACCGCATACTATTACTGTACATAAAGACGAAGCAGAGTGCAAAGCCTGGAGTGAGCACAGCTTGCCTGGCCCTGCGGTTAGATTGGTGTTGTCTTTGTCTCTCAGACACTGGGTCCTCTGTTTGGCTTCTCAAACCTGTTTGATTGGCCCTTATCCTCAGGCTTCTTCAGAGACTGATCAGGTGTCTGGCTTTAGTTTCTGTATTGTCTCCAAAGTGTTTCTGAGCCAATGGAAATGCATTCTTCAAAGTGTGTATATAATGTAGCTCTGTTAGCAAACTTTTTCAAACTAACACTCAACCTCCACAAAGCAGCAATGAACTCTCTGTTATAATCCTCTGTATTTACGGTCATGGGATCCTCGGAGGATAAGGTAAACGGCCAGGGGCCAGTATAAAGTAATGCACCTAACAAAGGGTTCACAGCATTTGAGGTAGCCACGACTAGCGGTATATAGAAAAGAAACCAAATTTGAAACTAAAGTGAGCAACACATAACTCAATGCTGTCTGCAACACCGACACTGACTGTCTCATTCTGTAGTCTCTCAGTAGCCCCCTCTTCAGTTCACAGTTATGGTCTGACACAAGCACCTCAAAATGGAGTACATCAATAGAACAATATGACAAAAAACATGTTAAGCATTTCTCTATAAACTGTGTCAGAGCAACTTTTGTTGATGGTTGCCTGCAGTAGGTTGCGTGGTCCAACAAAAATAGAGAATAATACACCTACAAAAACACAACCCTGACTAAATGCACAACAACAATAATTGAGTAGCTATAGATGTCAGAGAAGGATATAAGTCAAGGATACCTTTAAAAACCACACAATACCCTGTCTGCTGCTCCTCTGTGCTGATTAGGATGTCTCATGTTTTGTAAAGCTTTGACTGCCTATTACTACTCCATCTACCAATTTCACAAGGGGATGCCCAAACAGATCCTCCATTCCCTTTGTGCTGATCAAACAGGACTGCTGCTCTGAAGAGCTAAGAGGCTGAGCAAAGATAGTGTTCAGATTCCAGACTGAACACTGGAAATTACAGGTCATCTTCACGATTAGGGCTTTGAGCTCTGAATATCCTCCCACCACTTTCCATAGGAAATGTGGTTTAAAGAGTGACAATTTGACATGGCAGGCAAGAGTTTTTTCGTTTTCATCACTATTATTTTCGGGGACAGAAATCAGCAGACACAGTGGGGTATTATGTGAGTTTTAAAGCGTAATGAATATTAATGAGATGGATTAGCATATTCATCAGGGGTGCTCAATGATTGCCATTTCATTCAGTTTGCCATCTTACAAATCCTTTCAATGGTCATTTTTCATCAGAGAAAGAATGGTATTATTACTGCTTTCTCCACGGTCAGTAGGGTTTTAAAGTGATGTTACATGCAGCTAGCACACCAGGATATTTTTGTAATACATAAACATTCAGTTTAGGATGCATGGTGATCCTCAAATAAAATGCATTATATATCATATGGTTACAAGCATGTCCGAATCCCCATAACTCATTGTTACAACAAGTAACCTGCATCTACATAATTAACTATCAAAGACAATAGTCGGGAAAAACAGTGAGTGGTCAGTCCTTTACTGGATAGTGATACAATGATGGCGAGCACAATAACTAGCAAGTACAATATCTGCAACTATTGACTGGAAATTCAATTGTCAGGGTCTTCCAGGGCAGGGACAAATCGCAATATTGCACTGAGTGCATTTGTGAAAACAGATAAAAAATAAGATTGGATTTGATTTCAATATTGAGCTAATCCTCCATAACCATGTTGCCTCATCTCCTGCCGTACGTTGCCACCCTGGGCCTGACAGGCCTCATGCTGCCTCCACTCTCGAGACCCCTGGGATCCTGTTTAACATAATTAGGTACCAGGCCAACACCTTATCTCAGCCTCACATGCAAAATAAAATTCACTGGGGTCCAGCAGAGACACAGTCCCAAAGACATATGGTGACTGCTGCTCTCAATCTCAAGACACAGCCCCTCAAAGTCAATCATCTAGTAAACATTAGAAAAATACCCTTTTAAGCCGTGGGGAATGATTACTTATAGATAAGGGGCTGTCGGATTAATCCAGCTTCTGTTATCGTTTTAGAGCATTGTTATCTTAATGTTTCATCATTATAAAAACATTGAGTGAGTGATAAACCAAATTAACCAACCTTTTAAGGGCTTATTTTGCTATCCTTGCTTTGAAATCAAAACATTAAATTAAGTCAATATTTTATTTGAATCTTAAATTGATGGCTTAGGAGTCAACATATTTGCATTAAAATCAACTTCCTAAGGTTACATCCTCTGGCAGACGTTTGGCTCCATATTACCAGGAAACTAACATGGTCAAACACTGAATCACAGACATTCATTCAGCCTGTGAATGAAGACATCAACTTCTGTGAACCGTCACTGATGCACGCCTTTGCTTGAACAAACCAAGTAGACATAAAAATAAAATAAAATGCAAATGTACCAGTATCTTTCCCACTGCTAGGAAAACGACAATCAAATATGTGTCAAATATACCAGGTGCAAGGGGACAAGCTCAAGCAATATGGGCAAACTTGAAGAAGCAAACTCATCTCCATTGTCTGCACTGCTCATTATCAAACTGGGAAAGACTGAAAAAATAGCCCTCCTTTGTTCTTCACTCATTTGGGCCTCCTACACACTTAAAGCCTGGGCAGTTCCATTCATGCTTTGGAGGAGACAAGGCCTCATTCTCTTGCCAATCGGATTTACAAGATGCACCAGTCGGGTATAAACAAGTTGCCATAGAAACGTTATGATTTCGGCGCAATTTTTCCCTCTTCCTCTCTCTCTTTCCCGCATTCTCTCCCTCCCCCCATCATCTCTAATTGAAAATGATGAAATAGTCTACAGGGAGGGGAGAGAAAATATGTTCTAATCTTATTCAAAATGAAGGTAAAGACTGACATACTTTTTTTCTGTGACTTAAACTAAAGTCAATTTATTAAAAGCCAGGAAAATAATATAAAGTGTAGGTTTTAAGTTGCATTTGTTCTTGATTATATTTATGAATCAACAGCACCATAATTAATGTGATTGAATGGAACACCCCCCATCCCCACCCATAGAGTGAGCTCAGAATCCCCCCTCCCTAAGGCGTGCTCAGACGAAAGACAAACTTCACAGAGCATCATTATCACAGCGTTCTGCTTTTCTCATTTTAACATTAAGCACATGGCTTAAACTCTCTCCCTCTCTCTCTCTGCCTGCCTCACTCTCTCTCACACACACACAAACACACACACACACACACACATTTTTAAACAACTGAACACAGACTTAAGAGTGGCTTGAATGCAACCAATTAAAGAGCTGCAATACGTAGTCCATGCAAATGAAGGTTATTCATTCACATGCTCTCACAATGCTACTGAGATCTTCACACAGCCAAGGGGGAAAAGATCTCTCATGAGTGGCATGGCCACACTCTCCCCACCCCACCTCCCCTTCACACATTCCAAGAGGGAATTCAAGCACATGACTTGGCAGACCCTTCCATCCCACAATGCCCCTTTGCTGGAGGATTTAGGCTATCCAATGGAATATCAGAGAGGGGTGCAACTAGTCTGGGACTCTAAAGCCGTCACCATTCATACAACTCCATCAATAGGCCTCAGGCTAGCTAGAGGGCAGGATACACTCTAAACATTCAAACGTGCACTTTGAATACTTAGTTATTGAACATTTATAATTATCAGTTAATTCCAGTTGAAGACGAAATTGACAAATGCAAACATGCTAGAGTAATTTTTTGCAGTTGAAGGATCTTGGGCTCTCTGAAAAATATTTGTTGTTTATTTCACAATAAGTAATTTTCCTGTTGTCCTAGTTTTTAAAGTTGGATAAAAATGCAGATTGGCAGGTATTATTTTCCTTCAAGCCTGCAAATCATTAACTAACAGAAAAACATCTTCTTGCTCTGACAGTAATTTGAGGGTAAGGGAACCGCAACCCAAATGAGCTGTTATGCAGTGAGGGAAGAAAAACAAACGCCTCAAAAAAGAAAATCAACATGCTCTAAACATTGCATCCAATCTTTAAAACTTTTCCTACAAGTCTGTGATTGTGTTAAAATACAATATTTAAGATATGGATGTTGTATCCCTGTCCAAAAGACAGGCAACTGCAGCTGAAACAGTTGGTACTGGTCAATAAATTATTACTGTAGCGTTATAAAACGATTGCAATATTGTACACACTTTTTCTTTTTTTTCAGGTTGATTGTGTTTGATTGTGTTTGTACTTCATATAAATGCTAAAAATAACATAACTTTTTTGTGTCCTTAACAGCAAATACACATTAACACGGGTAAATGTACGACCATTAATGGGGTACAGTATAAAAAGGCTTGTGATACCATTCACCCCTAAACCAATTCCTTGGTTAAGGTTGCTCAAATACAGACTGGTCATTGTTTAGTGAGTTCAGTGTGGAATAATGGCTTTTGTGTCAATGGTCTACAGTCTGGTTTACAGAGGCACTCATGGCACGTGCATCACAGTGCTCTGCCATAAGTATCACAGCAATTTCAACATACACATACATTTTTCCTTCAACCCGGCTTTGTAAAGCAGATGGGCAGTTAGTGTCTGGTAGTTCGTAGGCAGAGGATCAGGCACACTTAAACAGTTAGAAGGCTGGTAATGTGTTATCTTAAAGTTGCCATACCCTCACAGAAATGCTCAATTACATATCGAAGGAGAAACAGAGACCTGGCGAGCACGGGGGCAAAAGCGACAGATGCCCCCTACAGGCATAGAGAGATAATCACCGTCCTTACAAAATCCATTACATCTGCTTTTCTTTGACGTCTATTTTGGTCTCCAGTGCATGGAGCTGCCTGAGATTACCAGGGATACAGTAATTGGCAACATGGCTGTGACTCCTCCAGATCAAGAGCCCAGTTTGGAGTATATCAGTTCTCAGTTCTCGTGGGCTGGAGACTGCAGCCCAGGGCTGGCTGTGTGAATTATCTAATTATCCCAATTACCTTCAAACAGGCTGAGGATTCTGCTAAAGGCCAGTGGCAGTATGAAGAGTTGTGTCACTGTGACTGGGGTTTGATTCACTGTAGCAACATTTTCCTATATATTGAACAGTGACCAATGGCTTAACCTAATAATTCACTGGATAATCGTGTCACATCATAGAATTGCACTGCAGACTCTAGTTGAATACGGAGAAATTATATCATAGTCTACTACACAGTGCGTACAAACTAATAAACTTGCAACTACTGTATCTGCAGCATGACTATTTTAGACACTCCCTTTTCAACTGAAAATCTTCCACACATCCTTCCCGCTGCCTGTATGACTAAATATGTCTCAGCCTATGCTGTAAAATACCAACAAGACTGCTAAATTATAAATTCTGCCTAGGAATGAGGGTGGGATTTATCACAAAATAATGTACCACCGTAAAAATGCAACTTGACAAGCAAGGCAAGCATGAACATCAATGGACTGAGTGGTGACAACTCTTAACTATGCCACTCTGACCACAAAGACCTCATACTGAACATTTTGTTTGAATATTTTTTTCTGAGATGTGGAAATACTGACTGTTATCTACACTCCTCAATTTAGATGTACAAATTTGTACCGTAAATCAATCAAATCTAGGTCCATTCTAAGCTGGCTGGAGACAGAGACAGACCAGGGTCACTGTGGTTCTGAGAGACAGGTTTCCAGTCCTGGAGGAAGCCCAACCGCAGATGGACTCTGATCTGCTGAGGAAACCCACTACAGGCTGTAGACCCAGGGGGCCTAGTGGCAGCCCAGCCAGCCCAGCCGACCAGGCCTGATCTGAACGGTGGCCAAAACACACCAAGTGATAGAAGAGCGCTCCATACCAGGAGGTCCTCAGGGAAGGATGCTCCTTAAATGGGTTTCATTTAGGCGTCTGCCTCTGACTGTAATACTGAATGTGCTTCTAATGAGGATATATCAGTGTGGCCTCGTGGATACGGGGATGACATGATGAGACATGCTGTGTTATAAGGTGCAGAAGAAAGCAGGCTATTACCTGCGATTGGAGATGAAGGTGTGGATGGGGGGTGTAAATGAAGACTAGTGCTATATTTATCTGACATCTCCTGCTACTCAATAAGAGGGGGAGATATTCTGTTCAATATCAACAGGGCTTTAACAACATTTCTTTGCAATGTTTCCGAGGCAGGTGCCCTGAAGTACGTACCAGGAATATACAGTGGGGAAAATTATTTAGTCAGCCACCAATTGTGCAAGTTCTCCCACTTAAAAAGATGAGAGAGGCCTGTAATTTTCATCATAGGTACACATCAACTATGACAGACAAATCCAGAAAATCACATTGTAGGATTTTTAATGAATTTATTTGCAAATTATGGTGGAAAATAAGTATTTGGTCACCTACAAACAAGCAAGATTTCTGGCTCTCACAGACCTGTAACTTCTTCTTTAGGAGGCTCCTCTGTCCTCCACTCGTTACCTGTATTAATGGCACCTGTTTGAACTTGTTATCAGTATAAAAGACACCTGTCCACAACCTCAAAATGTCAGAATAATAGTAGAGAGAATGATTTATTTCAGCTTTTATTTCTTTCATCACATTCCCAGTGGGTCAGAAGTTTACATACACTCAATTAGTATTTGGTAGCATTGCCTTTAAATTGCTTAACTTGGGTCAAACGTTTCGGGTAGCCTTCCACAAGCTTCCCACAATAAGTTGGGTGAATTTTGGCCCATTCCTCCTGACAGAGCTGGTGTAACTGAGTCAGGTTTGCAGGCCTCCTTGCTCGCACATACTT